TGTGCACAAAAGCCTTGCAAATCCAAGCAGCTGTACCGTAGGCTCGCTCTATTATCCATCAAGAGCAGCCAGTTCCCTCTCCTGCATGTTTTTTTTCCTCTGCAGTTAATGTGACCTATCCTTTGTTTAAGTCAGATGAGATGCGACAGGTGGAGGAGAGGGCCTGATCAACCTGTGGGCCGAGGGAGAGTGGAACAGCAGGAAATAACAACCTCTTTAGTGTAAGAGCTATTATTACTATTGACATTAAAAAGACACGTGTTGGTTTTGGCTGATTGTGGCCTGTAATAATTTAAAAAAAGACGAGCCAGTGAGAATGGTGTCTGTAGTCCATAAAACCCTGCAGTTAAATGCGCGTTGTCTTTATTGAAAACAAAGCAGATGCTCACTGCTTAAAATAACTATATTAGTTGATTTCCACCCAGCCAAGACTGTGAAATACTGCATGGGGAGCACTGAATCCTTGTTATATAGTAATTGCCTCTAAAAGGTCTCGCATTAAAAAAGGTTATCGTGATATCTGCAGGTTCTCCTCCTTAAGAATCTATACTGGTCAAGCTGTGACTCTAATGTGCTTAAATGTTCTATTTAGTCAATTTAATTGTACAAATGAGGTTAACTTAAAGCAGTGCTCTTTATTTAGACACACAATTATTCCTGTCATTTGTTCTTTAATTTAAATGTGTTTTTTTAAGCTGGGAAAAGTGAATATAAAGCAGTATATAGCCAGCGAGTGCAGTGTAGCGTTGAAGTCTATCGTAATGGACCCTCTGGCCCTGAAATCAACTTTTGATCATCAAGATGCAAATGGCAGCCTTCAGAGAGCCAGGCATAACGGAACGGATCACACAGAGATCAAACAGTCTGATGTGTGCTCACTGCCTCAGCATGAGTAGGACTGTAAATATTCATACCTTGGTCTTCTCTGTGATGCTCGGGGTGGCGTGTCAAGGCTAAGATCGGCTGATCACCTGACATTTACATAGTGTGGTAACTCTAAACTACCTTGCAGTTTGTTTTCCAGGTCCGTTTATAGTAACAATGCACGGTCCTGCTTGGCTAAATAACGAAGCTAACGGAGGTTGCATTGAGTTACATTGTGCTGCATTCAAGGTCCAATTAGTAAAAATCATTGGGTGAAAACTTCTATTTGTCCAATACTTTGGAAAATACCAGAACTAGTGACACTCCCATCAATCTAGCAAATGTTAGCATGCTAATACCCATGTAAGTATTTGCATTATTTAACACAAATAAGAGCTGTTACTGATGGAATGTCATAAGTTTAGCAGGTATTTGGTCATAAACCAAAATATTGGTCAAATTAAAACCTGACGATGGCGCTAAATGAAAAGGGAATTTTCGTTTTGTTCAATTCTTGTTTAGTTTCTTTTTGGCGAGAAACTTTGAATTGAATAAAGTTGATGGAGATGTTTCCACAGCAATATAAAATAGATATTAGAGAGGGAATTATGACCTGTTTTTTTAATGCACCAGTATTGGATCTGTACTCGGTATCGGCTCTAGAAGGCGTGGAGGGATGGCGTATTATGATGTTTAAATTAGAGGACTTGTTATTTTCTAAATCGATTCCTCATTTGGTTTGTGAAACAACAGAAAACGGTGAAAAATGTCCATCATAGCTTTTACTATGCTGGAAGACTATAAAAAGCAGCAAATATTCCTTTTTGAGAGGCTTGAACCATCAAACCTCTCAAAAAGTAAATGTTTCGCGCTTTCTCTTGAAAATTTACCTAAATGGTTAACCGATTATCAAAATAGTTGATCACTAATCAGTTTTAAGTGAGAGATTGTAAGCAAATGTATCCTTCCTCATTTCTTGTTACACAAGCATCATATCTTAAAAAAAGGACACAAGAAACACATACATTTTACATTTGTCCAAAAAAACCCATCATTGCAGTGCTGATTGTCTTCCAATCACATCGTTGTAATCAGTGAACAATCAGAGTTGATTGCTTTTGATCCAGCTGAGCGAGGAGGTGCACCTCACCTGAACTATTCCGCTTCAAAGCTGATAAGATGGGACGCAAGAGAAGACGGCGAAGAAGACATTCACTGCAGAGCACCAGGCGTATGACTTCCACACAAAGCCGTGCCCTCGGCTCTCGACATCTCTCTATACTGCAGTTACGTGCATAAACACTGTGTTTTTCAGAACGCAAATCACTGCAGGTCTGCAAGGTCAGCCGCATGTGTTGGCTACACCCAGAGGTTTTCAGTTCTCTGTTGAATATACACTGGTGCTTTGCTTGTTCTTTGCACTTTGTCAAGGAGGCCAGAGGAGGTAAAGAAAAACATCAGGACCAAGACAAATGAACAAGTTTTCTTCGGGTGCATTAGGTTCCAGGCTGCTCTGCTGTTTTTCGTCCCAGCAACTAAAGGATTTAGATTTAGATTTTTGAGCCGTGGACGTCTGTTTGCTGTCTAGCACTCGCAACAACATGATGACTGAGAGAAAATAAAAGCCAGGTTAAGGGTGAAAGTGGTTCACTAATGGAGCCAAATGGAATCATTTGTTCGCCCTCTGCAGCCCACTCTCTCCTCTTACTGTAATTGGCTCAGCTGCAGCTTCTCCATCCAAACCAGTTGAGCGATGGCAGCTATTGAAAGCACTTCATATTCAGATGTGGTTGTCAAGCTTCTCTCTGGTTCAATCAATCCATTTTCTTTCCCCTCTGTGTATACTGTGCGACATCTTTAATTCGGTAAACAAACTGAGGCGCCCATGTGAAGTATATAAATGATAAAAGTGGTGAACTTTGTTTGAAAAACATCTGAATTATCTGGCCGTGTTCCTTTGTGAAGGGGGTTTGATCGTGCAGATAAAACCGTCGAGCATTTTGATTTTATTCAACGACCCAGAAGTAATTTATTTAAACAGCTCTGGCAGTGGCAAAAATGAAGATACGAATATACCTCGTAATGCTGAATGGATGAGTATAGGAGCATTAGTGGGAGATGGCAGATGTGTGATTACTGGATAAGGATATGAGTGTGTGGATTTCCTGGTTGTGGATATCGAGGTTAAAATGAAATCAACATTAATCCTCTTCCAGGATCTTTTGACACAATGTGCTGAAGCTTCAAATATTGCTTGTTGCAGCTTTTATACAAAGACATTTAATAGTTTTACTGTGCATGGTCCTTGGCTTAGTCAAGTCACAGTTTGCAGTTATGTAACATGGAGATGTTACGATACAATTTTTTCCTTCTCCATACTGATTTATTGATTACCTGAACCTGTGTATCAGCAGACACTGAGTACAGGTCATAATTCTCTCTTTTTTATATTGTTGTTAAACACCTCCTTCAAACAGCTGTCTTTATTGAGGTTTCTTGCCAAAAACAACATTTCACAAGATTACATTTGACCACATTATGATAATAACAAAGTCATTTACTCTGGCAAAATACTAACTTTTACTCAATGGCCCTTGAATGCATCAAAATGTAACTCACTGCTACCTCCGTGTGTTAGCTGTTAGCTCCTTTATTCAGCTCTACGGGACCGTGCTTGCCCACTAGCTGCTAACAGCTAACCTTAACTAGCTCTCCTCTCGCTGATTTCAACATGGATTTGTTTTTTGTGAAATGAGCTGATGCATGATCACGTGATATCTGATTGGCGCATAGACGTACTCGCCAATACCAGTTCCAGCATTCTAGGCTGTATTGGAGGCCTTCCAGATACTGGTATCGGTATCATAACAGCTCGAGGCAAAAGGGTTCGATTTTATCTCAAACATTGACAATGATGGATGAATGCAGTGGAAAAAAAAATTGGACCTAATTAAAAAAATTCATTCTCTGTTGGTATTTGTTGATGTTCTACAAAGGGTTTGACCTGAGCCGAGCCACGCTGCAATGATAGCAAGCACATCCCATCCATACAGGGTTAGGTACGATGACCAAGAATATGATGAGCCAGTTAAGCCGAGTATTATTGGGCGACAACAATCAAATAAACTTTGACTTTTGAAACTGTAACACGGCCTTAAACACCACAGAAAGACATTTCAGCTAAACCATGTGATTACCGGTAGGTGTAGCAATATTCATTATACCAACTTATTATTATACCATTTTTTACCATCAGGAGGACATTTGTGGTTTTCAGTGAAATATCTCAACCATGAAATTTGGTTTGGACTAGGGATGCATCAATCCAACTTTTTCATTCCCAATACTGTTAGCGATACGTGAGCTTTGGGGAGCAGCCGATACAGAGTATCCATCCGATACCAAGCTGTGTGGAAGAGACTGGGAACATTCTTTTATGTGGAAGGCAACATCAGGCTTGACCTAAACATTGCTTTCCTAACTTTGTAAAACATATCGTAACAATTAAAGACGTAGATATGAAATTACTTAATTGTTATTTATTGAAATAATGGTATCCGATACCAGATTGGCCTATTGTCACAGATACCCGATCAAGCTAGTTGAGTCTGTATCGTACCAATATCAGATATCAGTATCTGTTGGTGCATCTCTAGTACAAACATGTACTTATGACATGTACTTATGTTCCCACTAGGCTGAATTATAATAACCAAGCGTTCATTTAATGCCGTCATCAGGTCCTAATGTGTGCAGTTGTTTTGGTTTATGACCAAATGTGCATTCCCATCAGCTTCAGCTTTGTGATTCGTGCTAATTAGTCGAAGTTGGCACGTAAATATTATATCTGCTAGACGTCACGTTAACATCGTCATTGTGAGTATGCTAGCATGCTGACCTTAGCATTTAGCTTGAAGCCAGTATATCCTCACAGAGACAGGACCATCGCTGTATTCTTGTAATTATGTGAGAAAAAAACAAACAATGCGTGAATCCGGCCAAGTTTGACAAGAATTTTAAATCAAGATGACTGTTCGAAACGAATTCTCTTGATCGAAATGTGTAGATATTGTACAACAACTGCTCTTCCTGCAGCTGACTGAGCTCACAGCCTGTCTTTCTTTCTTTCTTTCCAGCTCTGGTGGAACGCTGAGCGTGGCGACTGGAGGCTGGCGCTCGGGTCACGTTGATGCTGGTGGGCGATCCCCGGTACTCTCCTGTGCCCCCACCCGCCATGGCAATGAGCAGTGACCCTGGCCGCGAGAGGCCGGACCCCGACTCTGACAAACAGACCGGCAGTCTCTCGGACATCATGGCTGCCATGACGATGGAAGACTCGGACGGCTCCGCCGCCAACGGCGTGAGGAACGGCGGGGCTCAGCAGGACGGGGCTCAGCAGGACGGGGCTCAGCAGGACGGGGCTCAGGCCAAGAGGACCCGTGCGTTGCGGCCTCACCTGACTGGGAGGAAGCTGTCGCTGCAGGAGAGAGGCACATACCGGGCGTCGTCGGGCCCCGGAGGAGGATACATGCACGTGTCCCCTCGTGTGGCTCGCAGGCCCACCGTGGAGTCTAAACGCGTGTCCATATCAGACGCCCAGGTGAGGAAGTGATTTTAATTATTCATATTAAATGATAATAAATAACCATCAACAAGGCCTTAAGCTGCACACAAAAGGATTCTGGTCACACTGTTCAAAGATGAGTCATCTAGGAGGGGAAGTGTAGACAAATCCAACCTTCTTTCACCTTACACACATACTCTCTATGATGTTCCGTCAACCTGGAATCCACCAAGCTGAGAGAAAGCAGCTCTGTTGCGCTTACGAGAGCAGTTGTCGTAATTGGATACGAGCACCGTATAGCTCAAGATCTGTGCATTATCACCAGGAACAGAAGGCCAGCGGACAACATGACAGGGAGAGCGAAGCGTGAGCCGGTTCCCGCACACTAGTCTCCCATTAGCACCCATCATGCAAACATCCGGCCTCGTCATCCCAGCTCCTGTCACAGATGTGCAGCCCGTTTATTACTCCACGCTCTGCAATGCGAGAGCATTTTTTTCCGACGTTGGCTTTGCCGAGATCACCTTTGACCGTTTCATCAGACAGACATGAAATGCCTTCTGGCCAGCACTGCTAATGAAGTGAGGGGGGGAGGGGGGGTGGGAGCAGCACTAAAAAGTGCAGAGTTGGCTTCCTCACTCAGTTCAGAACAAATGTAGGCCAAGTTTTCCTGGGAATTAAAATATAATAAATAAAAAAAACTAACAGTAAAAATCAGCAATCCGGTGATGACTACACTACAGAGTACCACCGATTTGTCCGGGTAATCGGTTGGAGCGTTTCTACTCGTTTTCCTGTGTACACATCTGTCTGTTTGTATAAATGATGAGACATTTGATACAAAATTGGTGACAGGTAATACCTTTTTTTAATTGTATTTTAGATACTGTGGTTTTAGATTTAGTTTGTTTTCAGGCTTGTACACGGTCACCTCTTGTCGTCTCGCTGGCTGTTAGGCTGGGAACTCCACATGCCTGTTGCATTTGTTTACTGCACCTCCAGTAAAAGAAGGAGATGGAGTTCCCACCTGCTTTCCCAGGGTTTGAGGCAGGCAAGAGTGATGGACACACCGTATCAAAACTGTAGATGTGTTGGATGCAAACTCATTGGTTTCGAAACATCTCGGTAAAAGGCTGCAATTGAAAAACACTGGCATATTTAGAGAGATGTTGATTAATGCGCATTGTCTTTGTAAGTAAATAAAATAAACTTTTGGCATACATTCTAACAATTACAATTAAAGCTCTACTCCGCGAATCGCCACCTTATCGTGGTGGAGGAGTTTGAGTGGCTCAGTGATCCTGGGAGCTATGTTGTCCGGGGCATTAGCCCCTGGTAGGGTCTCCCAAGGCAAACAGGTTTCAGGGGAGAGCCCAGACTAAGAGCGGTTCAAAACAACCCCTATGATAGTTAGCCCACGGACTACAGCCACCTCGCCCAGACCAGGGAAACCGGGGCACCCTCCCGGAGCCAGACCTAGGAGGGGAGCTCGTAGGCGAGCGTCTGGTGGCCAGGCCTTTGCCCATGGGGCCCGGTCGGGCTCAGCCCGAATAAACACCATGGAGCAGCCACCCTGTGGACCCACCACCCGCAGGGACAAGCATCGGGGTCGGGTGCTATGCAGACCGGGCGGTGGGTCGGGCGGGAGGCCCGGGCATGCCGATCGCCGGCGGCATAGACTAGCTCTAGGGACGTGGAACGTCACCTCGCTAGTGGGGAAAGAGCCGGAGCTGGTGCAGGAGGTGGAGCGATACCAGCTAGAAATAGTTGGACTCACCTCCACACACAGCGTTGGCTCTGGAACCAAGCTCCTGGAGAGGGGTTGGACTTTGTCCTTTTCCGGAGTTGCCCAGGGTGAGAGGCGCCGGGCGGGAGTGGGGATACTCACGAGCCCCCGGCTGAGCGCCGCTGTGTTGGAGTTCTCCCCGGAGAGCGAGAGGGTCGCCTCCATGCGCCTACGGGTTGCGGGGAGCAAGGCTCTGACTGTGGTTTGTGCTTATGCACCAAACAGCAGTTCGGAGTATCCGGCCTTCTTGGAGTCGGTGGGAGGGGTCCTGGAAAGGGCGCCGCCTACCAACTCCATAGTTCTCCTGGGGGACTTCAACGCTCACGTGGGCAATGACGGAGAAACCTGGCGAGGAACGGCTTGCCCGATCTGAACCCGAATGGTGTTTCGTTATTGGACTTCTGTGCTTGCCACGGTTTGGCCATAACGAACACTATGTTCGAACATAAGGTGGCTCATAAGTGTACCTGGTACCAGAACACCTTAGGCCGGAGATCAATGATCGACTTTGTAATCGTATCATTTGATCTGCGGCCGTATGTCTTGGACACTCGGGTGAAGAGAGGAGCAGAGCTGTCAACTGATCACCACCTGGTGGTGAGTTGGGTCAGATGGCAGGGGAACCGGTTGGAAAGACCCGGCAAACCCAAACGTGTAGTGAGGGTGAACTGGGAACGTCTGGTGGAGGACCCTGTCCGGGAGGTCTTTAACTCCCACCTCCGGAAGAACTTCTCACACATCCCGTCAAGCTGAAGAAGGAGACCTTCAAGGCCTGGTTGGCCCAGGGGTCTCCTGAAGCAGCCGACAGGTACCGGCAGGCCAGAAGGGCTGCAGCTGCGGTGGTCGCGAATGCTAAAACTCAGGCATGGGAGGAGTTCGGGGAGGCCATGGAGAAGGACTTTCGGTTGGCCTCAAGGAGGTTCTGGCAAACCATCCGACGGCTCAGGAAGGGAAAGCAGGGCTTACCCCAGGCTGTTCTCAGCAGGGTGGGGGGGAACTGCTAACCCGGACGGAGGACATCGTCGGGTGGTGGAAAGAGCACTTTGAGGAACTCCTAAACCCGACCAACATGTCCTCTGCAGAGGAGGCAGCGCCTGAGGACCTAGGGGGAGGCTCACCCATATCCCTGGCAGAGGTCGCTGAGGTAGTTAAAAAGCTCCTTGGTGGCAAGGCGCCGGGGGTGGATGAGATCCGCCCTGAGATGCTGAAGGCGCTGGACATGGTTGGGCTGTCCTGGCTGACACGCCTCTTCAATGTCGCATGGGGGTCGGGATCAGTGCCCATGGAATGGCAGACTGGGGTGGTGGTTCCCATCTTCAAAAAGGGGGACCGGAGAGTGTGCTTGAATTACCGGGGTATCACACTACTCAGCCTCCCGGGGAAGGCTTATGCCAGGGTGCTGGAAAGGAGGCTCCGACCGCTTGTCGAACCTCAGATACAAGAGGAGCAATGCGGATTCCGTCCCGGCCGGGGAACAGTGGACCACTCTTTACCCTCGCAAGACTACTGGAGGGGTTCTGGGAGTTTGCCCAACCAGTCTACATGTGCTTTGTGGACTTGGAGAAGGCTTTCGACCGGGTCCCTCGGGGGGTCTTGTGGGGGGTGCTGCGGGAGTATGGGGTGCCGGACCCGTTACAACAGGCGATCCGGTCTCTGTACGACTGCAGTAGGAGCTATGTCCGCATTCTCGGCAATAAGTCAGACACGTTCCCGGTGGGTGTTGGCCTCCGCCAGGGCTGCCCTTTGTCACCGGTCTTGTTCGTGATTTTCATGGACAGGATATCTAGGTGCAGCCTGGGGGCGGAGAACGTCAGTTTCGGGGGTCTCGGGATCGCCTCTCTGCTATTTGCAGATGATGTGGTCCTGTTAGCCTCCTCGGATCGTGACCTCCAGCATTCACTGGGGCGGTTTGCAGCCGAGTGTGAAGCAGCGGGGATGAGGGTTGGCACCTCCAAATCTGAGGCCATGGTGCTCTGCCGGAAACCGGTGGATTGCTCCCTCCAGGTGGGGACGGAGTGCCTACCTCAAGCGAAGGAGTTCAAGTATCTCGGGGTCTTGTTCACGAGTGAGGGTAAGATGGAGCGGGAGATCGACAGACGGATCGGTGCGGCTGCAGCAGTAAAGCAGACGCTGCACCGGACCGTCTTGGTGAAGAGGGAGCTGAGCCGGAAGGCAAAGCTCTCAATTTACCACTCGGTCTACGTTCCTACCCTCACCTATGGTCACGAACTCTGGGTCGTGACCGAAAGGACAAGGTCGCGGCTACAAAAAATTAGTTTCCTCCGTAGGGTGGCCGGGCTCAGCCTTAGAGATAGGGTAAGGAGCTCGGTCATCAGGAGGGAGCTTGGAGTCGAGCCGCTACTCCTTTGCGTCGAAAGGAGTCAGCTGAGGTGGTTCGGGCATCTAATTAGGATGCCTCCTGGACGCCTCCCACTGGAGGTTTTCCAGGCACGTCCAACTGGGAAGAGACCCCGGGGAAGACCCAGAACACGCTGGAGAGATTACATCTCCCAGCTGGCCTGGGAACGCCTCGGGATCCCCCAGAATGAGCTGGAACATGTTCCAGTGAGAGGGAGGTCTGGGTCGGCCTGCTTGACCTGCTGCCACCGCGACCCGACCCCGGATAAGCGGTGGAAAATGGATGGATGGACAATTAAAGCTACCGGACTCTGTTTGTCTGCTTACTGTAACAGAGGATTGTGTAAGTGATGAACATTGTGTCTTATTAGCTTTTTAGATTGTGGAATATTGTTTTGTGGTTAGGGTTTCGTTATTCAGCACTCAGCAGTTACGGAGCACCTTGAAGGAATTTTGTTTTTACATTTTGGGAGATTTGCTTTCCTGTTGAGACTCGGATGCAAAGATTGATACCACTCTGTCTTAATGCTAAATATTATGGTGGAGCCGGGAGACATTTAGCTTCGCTTAGCGCAAAGACTGGAAACAGGGAAGAGGCTAGCTTTCTTCTGTCAAACGGTAAAACAAAATCCACCTCCAAGCACCTCAAAAGAACCTTTATTAACACCGTAAAGTTGCCAGGCAACCAGGGAAGACTCCTGGAGGTCACTGTGTCCGGCCACAAAATCGTCCCACAACTTCCTGTTTTTACATTTAGGTTTTTGTATGGAACAAACAACCAATATATAACATGTTTTAGTGAGCTTCAGAGGGGACGGCACATCGATGATGGAACCCGGCTAGCTTTTGTGCTAAGCTAACCAGCTGCTTCATATTTAGTGTATAAACATCAGAGAGGTATTGATCCTCTAACTAAGAAGGTGAATAAGCATTTGTTTGTCTATGAATTATTACTGAAAATTGTACCTATGGAGACAGTTGTCATCAATAATGATGAGTGCCATTATTCAGACAGCATTTGGAAACGTGTAGCTGGAAACCTGCATCTCGTTGTGCTTCCCCATGAAAACTAAGAGGAGCCTGTCGCTGCGGGTGACAGCCAGATCTCCATTTTCCTCTGACTTTTTCCAATTCAGACTGAGCATTAAATATTCATGACAGCTGCCAGGATGTGGAACCCCTCTGAATTTAACAGACTGCTGCCGCAGACTCGCAGACCTGCCATTGTGTCCTCTCCTATCTGAAAATGGAGTTGCAGCTTCCTGCACTGAACCATGAAAAGGAACTCATGTCGCTTGAGTTTCCCCAGCTCTCACTGGATCTACAGTATGACACAACAGAGAGAGAGAGAAGCATTTCCTGCATGCAAAAACATCTGTTATGGATGCCATTTTGAGTGCATTCTGTTACTTAATACAACAGCAGTTACCACAATGGGGAAATATATCAGAATTGCCACACATGCATGTTTTCATGCTTGTGTGTGTTACTTTTATCTCCCCACTGTCAATATAGACATAAAAATGTCCTCCCTGACAATTTGGGAAGTCCCGTACTGAGCCACATGAGGAAACACTGTGTGTATATAGCTCATATAATGGTTTAATTAAAGCACCGAAGCTTCTTGCTCCCTTTGATTTCTCTGTGCGTTGCATGGAACTCTTTGGGTTCTCACTCCTGACTTTCTCATGGCATTAGTTTTGGCCTGTCACTCTGTTTTGTACACATATATGTAATGTGAATATCTTTTCTGTCCCCTCGTGAAGCGGGGTGCATTTTTAGAATATTTTTGCTTCTCCTTTTTGTGGGTTAAAGTGTTTTTAAAAAGCACATAAAAATACAGGGTTAATTTTGGGCCTTCCTACTTGGGTGCATAATGATTTGTGTCAAAACAGGATATGAAGTCACGTTTATTTATGTAGCCATTAATCATAGGGATCTAGAACACCCAGTTGTTGATTTTTCAAATTGATTTTTGCAGCTCTTTTCCGATGACTCACCCTCCCCCCCTCTGCTCGTATTTGTATTTACGGCCACTTTGTATTGCACCAAAATGGAAAAAGGAATAGAAATGGCCGTGATGATGTCGGAAACTAATTGACAGTGTGAGCTGTGTGAACTGTGTGAGCTTTGAGTGTTAGAGCTCGCAATGATGAGTCTCTTTTGGAAGTTTCCTCTGAAAAGCTCACACGGTCTTGTACTTTGTATCCGTTAAGTCCGACTAATTGTGTATTAAAATAAGCAGCAGTGGAAGAAATTTGAGGATTAGTAACTTCGGCAGCCCCGCAGGCAAAGATGAGTGTCGCTGTCTGTTCGTCTTCACAGTGCATTAGCACAGTAAAGGATGTGCTTATAGAACTAAATACGTGCGTGTTCCTTTGATATTTCATCTTTAAGTAAATAGTCATCTTTCCTCCCAAGGACATTTTGCACTGTTCTATCAAAATTCATGTTCAAATGACAAGTTGAGGAAACGACTTCACACTTAGAGGCTTTAAGTACTGTCAAACACAAGTTCCCATTTTATTACGTACTTCCTGAGGCTCATTATTCGCCATTAGAACGAAATTCATGGCCATTGATTTTGGACGCCACCGTGGCAGTGATGCATTTGTTATGCACTGATATTGATCATAGCTGAGTGATGGATGGAGAGGTGTGGGTGGAGAGTTTGGTACGGATCAGACACGGTGCAGGACAGAGTGTAATGTGAAGGGAATAGGGGAGATGAGAGGCGGGTGTGTTCCATACTGAGGGAAAGACTGCAGGGCTGCACTGGTAGCTGACCGAGAGAGCCCCTCTAAAGATTTATCGTGGCCCAGTGAAGCGCCTGACTTTGAATCGTGTGCATGTGTGTATTTAAGGCTTTTCTGCACGGCCCTCCTTAGCCATGGGTCCTGACCGAGTATTAACTGCAGTGCAGCGCCTTCTGAGAATGTGCTGGCAAACTGTGAACCCAGTGGAAGGAATCCCTCTCAGACAATCCCTCCTACTGCTCTTTTCTTTGGATTCTCCCCATTTGCCTTTTCCTTAATCCTTCGCTGCCCTATTTTCTTTATTCTCTTCGTCTCCTTTTCAACCAATCAAAGCGATCCTTTTCTAAAAGTTCTTCCCCTGCTTCACCTACCAAAGCCCCGTCTCCTATTCTATCTCTCTTCTCTTTGTGGTAATCCCTGCCCACAGTACTTGACACCGTCGTTGCCTACAGTGCATAACCCTCCGATGCTCAGTCCTTATATCTAAAGCAGAAATGCTCAGTACCGGGCTACATAACCGGCGTATTATGTAACCAACTTACATCATGTCGTATTTTCTAGAATACCTTGCCTGGTGGCGAGTGAAGTCCGGCCCTACGCCACACCAGTTTGTGTTGTTACATCTGTGTTCTCCGACCTCCTCCCTTGCTTTAAACACGTCCCAGTATCAAGCCTCAGGCACTGCTTCTGCTCACGCACAGACATAGACCTCAGCACACCTCTGTGAAATGCTCCCCACCACCAAAGAACCCCCCCCCCCCCCCGGTCCTGCTGTGGTGTGCTCTCCTCTGCCGTGCCCCTGGCTGAATCTGTGCTGTAGCAGTGGTTGCTATGGAACTGCATATCACCCATTTAAGCAGCAGCACTCTAATGGATTTTTCAGACAGTAAACAAACTACAGACTGCGTCGTTGCCTACATCTCAGAAATAAATGACTCACTCCACACGTATATACATACACACACACACACACACTGGGGACATTTGTTCCCGTACCAAAAAGGCGGCCATATTTCTCTTTGCTTCATGTGATGGAAGTGTTCTGTCATGTTTTTTTTTGTTTGTTTTTTCAATGAATTAGTTCCTCATGTCCACTCCATTTCTCTCCCCTCCCTCACAGGACTGTATCCAGTTGAACCAGTATAAGCTGAAGAGTGAGATTGGAAAGGTAGGTTTGTCGGTTTTCTGCTGTTTGTTTAACTTGGAGAGCTTTTAGGAAAACAGCAGCAGCTTTGAGGGGATTGACCCTCTGCTCAATTTGTCTGTTAAGTGAGAAAAATCACGTTCGCAGCATGTCCATACTAAAAGTTGTGAGTTCTCTTTATTATATTGCTTGATTCTTACATTTTACAAGTAAAATATATTAATAACATTAATAATAATAAAATATACAACGTAGAAAAGAGGGCTTCTTTTTGGAACTGTTCAGGTGAATCTGGTGATACGATACGTTTCATGATACAGGGTGCAACGATTCAATTTGGTGATATTGTATGTACGTGCTTTGAGCTAAATGCTAACATCAGCATGCTAACATGCTGACAGTCACAATGACAACATGTTGATGTTAAATGTTCTATATACGGGACTCGGAGCATTAATATAGCAGCAAGTAACTGTTAGCTCTGCTAGCACTGTTGCCATTGTTTGCACAGTTCGTGCTGTTGGCAGAGTTAGCTGTGAGCAGCCGGCTCCATGTTGAGTGGAGTTTAAACCTCATGGTGGTGCCTGATGAAAAGTCCGGGGATCACCAAAGTCATTCGGATTCATCCTCTGGGGACTATGAATGTCAGTACAAAATTGCAGAGCAATTCATCTAATAGGGATATACCTCGAGCATGGCTACCAAAGACCAAATGTCTCAGATTGACAAAATGCTAGATTGGATATCGAAAGGAGGAGGAAATAAACGCAAAATCCAAAGTGTGCGATAGAACTAATGTTGTATGCTGCAGCATTTCAAGCTTCACTGGAGACACCGAGCTGCAGCGTTACTAAATCTGTCAGCACACATTGACGCTTGGAGGATAAACACTTCTTGTGGTTAACACATGGGGGAATTCACTGTGGCAGCAACCGAGATGAAAATTGAAGAAACTGGCAAATTGAAAAGGGCGAAGTGCTGTTTTTAGATTATCGAAGAGCAGTCAAAGGGCCTATTAACAGACATATTGATGGATAAAGCAGTAGATTTTAAAGAGAGGAAAAATGAGTATCAGATGGAGATTTATATGTTCAAGTTTGTTTTCAGAAATGAAACCGTGATATCAAACCCTCTCTACTCGAAAACCATGTCAGGAGTTAACACAGTGGATAACGACCTACAGGGGAAACACGAATGCTTTTGATTTGTGACATTTATAAAACCTTGTCACCTAAGTTTGTGCGCTTACTAAAGCTCACAAATGGCTTTTTGTCCGTCCACACGGCCACTTTCTTCTAATCCGTAGACACTTACCATCAGCCAGCTGGCAAATTTGGCTGTAAAAGACATCAAAAGGGGTACAACTCGCTTTAATTCATTTCTGTGAGTGTTCTGTTTGGCTACTTGTTTGCACTTATCAAGAGAGGAAAACATGCTTGGAAAAAACAAGGATTATGATGGCAAGCACAAACATCCTGTGCGCGTGTGTGTGTGTGTGTGTGTGTGTGTGGGAGGAGCCATTCTGTGCTGCCAAAGAATAAAAAAATGTTGTTTTTGAATGGAAACTGCTGCCTTCAAGACATTCTGTCAGTCTGTTTCTCAAAGTGATGCCTTTGGTATCAGCTTTCTTCTTTTTAATCCGGAGCTGGACCACAAAACGTACTGACCTAAGTGTTGCTGTGAACGAGTGTGTCCACATGAGGCAATGAACCTGTCTGTCGTTGCATTGCAGGGCTCCTACGGTGTGGTCAAACTCGCCTACAATGAGGATGACGACAAACATTACGTAAGTCAACGCAATCGTCTCGCATTTCAGCAACTTCTCTGTGATTAGCAGTCCTTCTGCCACACAGCCACAGATCTCCTCTGATTCTTCATCAAGCCTCTCGGCCTCTATTGTCTCTACAGAAGAGCTTCACACTAGTGCTATTGATTTTTTCTTTTTTTTCCCCACATGGTTGTTTTTGCTGTGAGTTCCATCCCCTCAAATTGCATCAGTTGCCTTGGACGAAACTTGGGAAATGAAAGTGGCTTCTGGTGCCGCTTAAAGTGCATCCAAGACTCTGTTATGTGTCTTCAAAGCGGTGCTGCTGGTGCTTCGTGTGCCGGGTATGGCTGCTTTGAGGTCAGTTCTCGAGAGACAGTCTGGATATGAGCCGGCCCACTGACAAGAGGTCATTTTAGGCGTTTCCATCGAGGGGATTTGCCATGCACACTCGGCCCCTCTAATTGTAAGCCGTTTTTTATGTTTGAACACAACTAAACCGCCCTGAACAGTAACAACAATACAAGTGTTTGGATGAGTCATGTCGACGAAAGCTGCCAGCCCTGGTTGGGTTTAAGATGTACTTTTGAACTGGAGCCAGGAAGAGCTAGGAGCGGAACGCAAGCCGGTATTGAAAACGCCAGCTTGTAAAATGGGCCGAAAGGTAAACAACAGGAGTTTATGTAAGGACACAGACGAGCCCTGTAACATGAGCAAAATGTTATAACAAGGGATTTTTTATATAGACTCTACCCTCTGGAGGAATAATGACATGCGGCTTTAAATGATGGCGACCTGTCCGAGAAATTACATTTTAACAATTGCCAGCAGTAAAAACATCTTGTAAGACATGTAAAGATGCCGGTTTGCCCTTTTTTATCACCATGAAGTGGAAAACATCACGTCTGGCAAATGTTAACTGACAATGTATTTTCAGATTTCCTAGTTATTGTTATGTTTAGGCCCCTCACGGCTCTGGATTAAGGTGAGGGAAAGACCATGGTCTTGGTTTACCCAACATGTTGATCCATATTCGTTCCGTAGCCTTAAAGGGGCACCCCTCTGATTATTTACATGGTTTAATAAAGGTTTATTGACACCTGACCGGAGAATTGAGAACTGTTTATCTAGATGTGCCCAACTCCTTGTATTCACATGTATCGAAACACATATTCATTTACATTTTATTTTTTGGGGGATTTCCTAGAATTTAGGTAAAAATTTGCGCTACCATGACAAAAGTGCTTTGCTTTGTTCACCCACCGTCCATTCAGACCTCCTCTAGTGCGCGGTCCACAAACCTAACTCATCCCAAACTACAAAAAAGGTTTCCCTTTAAAATCACCAAAACATATTAGCAGTATACAAACATATTTTCTCAGAGACAGGTGCAAACAGAGCCTCAGAGATTTTCCTTTCGTCAGAATCTCCGAGTCTGAAACCACAGAAGAATCCTGAACATTGAAAAACTTATGTCCAGTGCAACACATTTTTTCCTCCTCCTCCATCCGTCCCATCTGCCCTCAGTGTCTCTGTGTGTGCAGACGTATATAAAGCCCTCATGTTTGCTGTGCGCTTAGTTTTTCTTGTCGTGCGTCTTAGTTCCTGGTCTGTGCGGAAGCGTTCTTGCATTTGCTGCCGATTGTTAACACTGACGGTAAACGTTACCTTCTGGGACAAACTGCGGCTTATTGCAGGCCGGCTCAAATGACAGCGGAAATAACAATGACAGGAATCAGGAGAGGAGCAGATGAGTAATGACGGCATGGAAGGGTGATTCCATTTCCTGGCAATCTGAGTTGGTCTCACACAAAACTGATTGGATATCTGCACGCGGAGCATCTGCAGCGCACACATACCAGACTGAAGGAATATGATCTCTAGTAGTTCAGCTGTATTTACCCGGTACACATGGGCTTTCTTTCCTAAAAAGATATAATGAGGATTAGTAAGTAGAAATTACCATTTTAAAATGATGTATTTTCATATTAAGTTGTAGCACTTAATGGTGATGCTAGGTTCTCAACCTCCTAATGAAAACACTGATGAATATTTACAATATGTTGATAATGCAACCATGGTCAGTTTTAAAGGTGCTAAATTTGATTTTCAGAGCATTAATACAGCAGCAAACAACTTCGCAATAGCCATTCTGTCTGTCTGGTAGTTTTCATTGTTAGTGGCGGAGTCCGCCATTCCCACACGGATGAGCTTTGTTTGCTCTAATTAGCATAAGCTAATCACGTAGCATAGGTTAATCACGCCCTAATGTCAAGACTAGGAAAGAAAAGGTTAGCTCACAAACTACTATTTTTTGGGTGTAACATTCTTGATTTTCATCTCTGAGCAAACTTGAGGCGCAGCGCAGAAGTCTTTTTTACTCAGAGGACTTGTTTGCTTACCGATTTGATTTAATTCAGAAATGGCACCGTGAGGGAACAATATGGGGACTGACATCATTCTTAAACCTTTTTATATGACACCTCCTACAAAATAAAGGTCCTGCTGTCATACTTTTGGCTGCCTTTGATCATCACCACATACCACTCACCAATACCTCCTCAGCAGAGCTGAACTCACATCACCTCTTATATTGTGGTTTCCACAGTTATTGCCATACTTTGTTTGAAAACAAAATGAAGTCATTCCCAATTTCATGTTTGGTGAAATGCATTTACTGTGAGTAAAACTGCAATGACACACCTTCTCCTACCCACACACAGAATTTTAGCTTTTGCGATGACGGCTATTTACTGGAGCTTCACCATCAATGCCAGATTCTGTAATGAACTCTGGTGTGAATAATGTAATTGTCTGAGTATAGAGACATGATTGTTACAACCGAAATGGCTGCAATAATTCTGAATATTGCTCTCTGGATATAATATTTTTAACTGTTTGATCACTGTGGCTGAGTCATCTACCAACCTCCCACAAGTCTACACACACACACACACACACACACCCACACAATGGAAACTGTGTACAGCCAAGGATTCTTGCCAAATCTGGTTTCTGTCTTAAAAAGAAACTGCTTCCTCTTTTGCATAACCAATTCCTGGTAATGACACAGACACACACACACACTCACACTCACACACACACACACACACACACACACACACACAGAGCTGTCCTTTATAAACTGATTCATGCTCTTTTCCATGAGATTTAGTTGCCTCAGACTCAGTCCTTTACTCCTGACCTTTTAAAAAAAAATAAAAATATAAGCATAATAACACATATATTCATCCATTGACTTTAAAACGTTCATGTTTCTGGCTTCCATGAAGGCACATGTGAGAACACTGTACATTCACATTTCATGTACATTTACAATACAGGTTTATTTTATTCTTTGGACCTGCTTTCAGCTCCTAGTTTTCTTTTCTATTTTGTTCTTAATCGTTGCTTGATGCGCGGCTTCTCTTCACTGTTAATATGACCTGCATGTGAACACGCTGTGATCAAACTCATGTTCCTCTTTCCTAGGCCATGAAGTTGGTGTCCAAGAAGAAGTTAATGAAGCAGTGTGGTTTCCCACGTAAGTCCTTCTTCTATTCTCCTAAACAGACACTCTGTCCGTACGAGTGTTTACAAAAGACGTTAACTTGGAAGTTACCTAATCTCAGTTACAAACACTGAAGGTGTGTGTGTGTCATGTTGGGTTGAATGTCAGTTAATGGCAGCATTTGGCAGCTGCAAAAGCACATTGGCATGTGATCTTTTAATGCAGCACGAGACAACTAACAGAGCTCGTATCAAGTGAAATCATTCATCGTGTAAAAGGGAACAGTTTTCCCAACAGACAAAGAACGAACACATTTCCTAAACTTCTCGAGGGGCTACTAGTTAAATATGTATAGATCCGCTGATCCACAATGATTACACATCACACAAACAAACCACAACCATAATACTCACAAACACCCTGCCACATGTTTAGATCATCATCTTTAATGATTGCTCCAATCAAGGAGGGCAGCCGTGGCTCATTGTGTAGAGAGGGTCCTGTGCCAAAGTGTCCCTGAGCAAGACACTGAACCCCTAACTGCTCCCCGGGCGCTTTTCAGCAGCCCACTGCTCCCAATAAGCTAGGGATGGGCTAAATGCAGAGGTTACATTTCATGTATATGTACAATGTATATGATCACTATAATACATTTAATTTCATTTAAAAATGTGAATCACTTATCAAAGTTGCATGTGTGATCTGTGTGGCGGTCTGCAGGTCGCCCACCGCCAAGGGGACCCAAGGCGGCCCAAGGAGAGCAGCCCAAAATCTTAGGACCCCTGGAGAGAGTCTACCAAGAGATTGCCATCCTTAAAAAACTGGACCATATCAACATTGTCAAGCTGGTGGAGGTGAGAGCATCTCTATCCTCTGAGCCCTGGTTTTTATGTTGAACATGAAACCGTAAATGGTTGCTGCCTTTGCATTCAGAGGCCAACCAATTAATTAGTCTTATTGATACTAGACTTGAAGTACCAGTGTGTAGGATTTAGTGGCATCGAGCACTAAGGTTGCAGATTGCAAACAACTGAATACCCCCTCCCTTTTTAAGCATGAAGAAGAACCTTCAACCAGCAAATGTATGCTGCCGCTTCAATATGAAGGCACAAACGGCCCTGCCTATAGCCAGTGTTTGCTTTGTCCCTTGGAGGCTGCTGTAGAAACATGGCAGTCCCTCTGTGGAAGAGAACCCGCTCCTTATGTATATACTGTATGAAGGGCTCATTCTAACTTAATTAAAACAACTATTCGTAGTTTCAGGTGATAATACACTAATGAAAACATAATTATGAATATTATATTCCTTTTTGCGCTAATAGTTCCCCCAAAATGCTACACACTGGTCCTTCAACGGCCCATTAATGCTGGCAATTATTCAAATTCGATATGGTAATATTTTCTTGCTTGTGTTGTCTATTTTTTATTAATCTGACAATTTTGACTTGATAAGAGCTCATTCAGGGTTCTTTGAAAAAGCATTTTTGGACCAGGATAAGAATAAGCCCTAAACAGTTTTTAGACATGCCGTACCAGCGGGGCACTAGGGATGACATCATGATGCGTCATTGACCAACAAAAAGCCTGCTCTAAAGTCAATGGTGCAGTATTGTCCTGCACTATTCGGATAGTAAGATGTGCCCACACTCTGCTTGTAGCACACACAGGGACACATTCCATTTTTTTAAAATTAGGAGTTAAATAAGAAATCTTATTTGCGATGAGGAAATGTGCCATTTCATAATAATTTGTCTGATAACAGCATGTGGACATCCACAACAGGCTTAAATCCATTGTGGTCAGGATTATCCTTTACCACTGTTTCTTCAGATAACCTTTCTTGCTGTGTACCCTGACTTCCGCTTTGTATTTATGTCATGTCAGTTTCTATCAGACCAAAAAAGGTGGATAAACCCTGTGCTGCCAGGAAACAGGTGGGAGAAAAGAGATTAACCCTCCAGCACATCCATCACACTTCTATCACTGGACCTCTCATGATGTTTAGGCGACATATTCTGGGGGGGAAAACAAATCTTCCGCTCTGTAAATAGATTGTTAGTTTGACAACGGCCAACGCTCTCAAACTTGGGTCGAGCTGGGGAATTTCTACAGAGGCGGTTGTTTATGAAAGCTGATTTTAGAGACGTGACTCAAGATGCCCTGCGCTCCCTTGCGATATCATCCGAGTGTTTTTTTCATCTTGGGCAGATGGTGGGGTGGGGGGGGGGGGAGTCTACCTCAGGGAGCCAGTCAGTAGGAGAAGTGTCTGGCTTGCTCTTGCGTTGAGAGTGTGCCAGAGTTGTCAAGTAAAAGCTGAGCACTGCTCCCGTGTGCTCGCTCCAGCAGTGAGGACTCACACACACACACACACACTCATCTTTTCCCTCCTTTGTCCTCCCCCACTCTCATAATGGGCATATGTAAGTGGGCAATGGTGCTCCATCTCTCTCTGTTCATCCGCTTAAATGTGCTGTGCTTGGGTCAGGCTCACATTCATTATGGGTTTCCAAACTGATTCCTGTGAGACTGCATTCCGGTCCGTCTCATTAAGAATATACTTTTGCATCATGAAAGCCCACGCCGACAGATTCAATCTGATGACCGTGACATGGTCCTTTGTCACAGAGCGTTGGGACGAGATCGACCACCATACTCGCCAAGGCAGTTGTTTTGAGAGTAGACACTTTAAAGTCCCAAGTATGTAATTTCCCATGAATCAAGAAACCCTTTTAATGCATCTTAGGAACTGCATTAGTCATTAGAACAGCTCCAACAACTACGAGCCTACTAATGGTTTGCACTTTGCACTCAACAGTTGATTTACCGTTAATAGCTTTTTGCACTTTTAAAAATAAAAATGGTGCAAAAAGAACAGTTGTATGTCGTACTGTATGAGACAGTATGAACAAGTATTCAGCTATTGAATGTTTCATGGCCACATTGAAACGGACGTGAGTAAAAAGTCTTCCTCTTGCTTCAGAGGAGATATCCTGTCCTGGTTTTCCCGCTACTCTGTGTCCTTGGCAGTTGTTTACCTTCACTGTGGTCGTTTAAATTCACCAGGAATATATATGTATATATATATACACTACAGTATACTGTAAATACTATATATATACTGTATATAGGTTGTGTTTAAGGCCTTGGAAAGAAATGCCTGTTAATCAGCAGATCATTTTTTTAGGTAAATCAACTTCCCAGTATGAACAATTAAGTAGCCTTCATTTAAATCATTAGGTCCTAAAAGTTGTAAAATGTAGTTGAGAGACCGGATTGTTCAACCAAATCCAACCTGCATTCAACCAAAAACTGCTTCAACGTGATTGGTCAATACTACTCAGACTACAAACTGAAGCACGAGAGTTTCAGATACCAACATGTTGTTCCGTCGACAGATTCTGCGCATGAATGTAGAATCTGTTTATGGAAATTAATTTCTTTCTCCAGATTTTTTTTGTAGTAATGTATTAATTAAACTGCACACTGTACAACCTTTTTTCACAGTAGTACTCCCTGAGACCTCCAAACAGACTTTATACACCCATGGTTATGCTAGTAGTGGCTAATGTAGCCTCAAGCTAGCAGCTCGGGGCTAGCTCCTCTGTCTTTAGGAGGGTTTTTGTGTCAAGATCTAGTTTTGAATCCAGGAAGTGTCCATCAGTTTTAAAACTGTGCACATTGAACAGAGAGCCAGATGAATTGGGGCTAAAAAGGGCCCAAAAGCTCACTTTGGCCCCAGGGCAAAACCGGCCAACTGCAGAGTTGTGAATTTGCACAACCCCCCCAAAGCCGGTGTTTTAAATTACAGCTCTCACCAATGTCCTAACTGTTGAGAATTACAAGCAGCTTACATATGAGAACAAAGAAAAGCCCAAAAGGTAATTTTCAAACGTTTTTGTGAAAGTATCAAAGGCGCTATCATCACGACTCCTTCCTGTAACTCTGCTCAGTCCTTGATAAGCAAGATAAGACTTACTCACTGTCAGCTTCTTAACTGATACTGACAAGAATTAGCACATGTTGGTTTTTACATTTTCAAGTGGGAAGTGGTCACTCATGCCAATGCTAATGTTGCAGGTGCTGGATGATCCAGCAGAGGACAACCTTCACATGGGTACGCAGACCATATTTTCTTTGTCCAAATCTTCCGCCCTATTTTCACCCTCTCTCAGCCTTTGGCACTCGGCACATATGCCACCAATAAGTGTTCATATGACTTATTCATAATTCAGATCATCTCTTGTTTCCTTCCACACCACCTCAGGGCTCACGCATTATGCAAAAAAAAAAACAATCTTCCATCGGCAGTGCCAGGTCACAGTGCCAGGTCACAGCCTGTATTAGTGTGGAACGTCAAACTCTTCATGCTCTGAGTGGTGCTATGTTCATGATAATAATGTGGCGCTGAGGTGTCAACCCCATCTGAATGAATGAACAAATGTATTGTGTGGTCTTACGTGTCCCTTCTTATTGCCTTTTTCTGACAGTGTTTGATCTGATGCCTAAGGGGTGAGTAGAGAACATGTCCTTTTTGAAAAGAAAAAATATATTTTAAGGCTCATCCTCCTCTACCTTCACCTCCTCAATTTCTTCCTCACTCCGTCCCTGCCTCCATCTGTGCCGTGTTCTCCATCATCGCACCGAGCTGCCACAGTGCAGGTGTTTGTTCTGTCCCCGGCTTCAAAGGGAATCATAACGTTCTTTGGTTTTCACGGTTATTACTAGTGCCGGTAGTCCGTGTACGTGATCAATGTCCTGATGCACGAGCTGTTCCTTCCTACACAAAAAAAATAAAAAATAAAAAATAAGCGAATTCTGATGATCTGCAACTTTTTGTTAGCAAATGGAGGTGGGAGGGGGTAGCTGGTATCATTTCACATATTTGCATAAATTAGTTGATGTATACCTTTTGTACTATTTATTGACTTCTTCATAATGAGAGTTTTTGCTCATGTTTTGGATCGGTTGGATGAAACAAGCAATTTGAGGACGTTACCTCGCAATCTGGGAAATTGTTATGGGTATTTTTTATTTCTTAAGACATTGTGCGGACTAAAGGATTAGTGAATGAATCGAAAAGTTACAACACTCTATTGTATCCCCTGCTATTTAGCATTTACACTCCCTGTATAAACAATCAATTCGTGATTTTTAATTACAAGCAATTATTCAATTTTCTGTAACACTTTTAAAATGCCAAATTGTGATCAGCTAAAAAATATCGTATCGTTCATCAAGAATTTTGTTTTTCAAAGAACGTAAGAAAGAAAACAAACTACAATTGAATACTTTGTAATGAAACATGAAGTGAAACTTAGAATTGTTTCGATATATCTAGTTAAAGTTCTCTGTGATCGTCCTTATTAACTTGTAGATTTGTGTTTGTGACGCAACCACTAACACGTAAATAATAAAAAGTTTAATATTGTTGGATAATATACATTTTCTACATAGGAGAAGTTTTATTAATATACGCTTAACATGTCTTTATATCTGCTTACAGATATTTACGCTAAATAGGGTGTGGGGTTGAAATTCTGAACCAAAAAGACAACCATGAGATTAATCTGTGATGGAAATCATCATTCATTGGCAGCCCTGAACTCTTTTGGTGTTACACCACTGTTCTAATTGTCTGCTGCATGTCTGTATACCGACTTAATGTAAGAATGCAAATATCAGCTCCTCTTGGTACCACAAGGTTCAAACTCCTGCAAAACAGAATTGTTGGATCAGATCCCTGCTGTTTTTAACGGTACCAGCTCTGCTCTGATCACTATCTCGGGATAGTTGAACCGTAATTCCCTTTTAATCACAATCGAACCAGCGAACTGCTGCACAGCCTCACAGAATAATAATATTGATGGAGGTGAAGAAAGCTGTAACCGTGTAGAACAGTGAGTCCTGTTCACTCATCCAAACATATAACAAGTTGTTTTTGGCTGCTGTTGGGTTTGGGATCTATACAAAGAAGATAAAGATTGTCTGTATCACAGTGTTTGAGTATCGGCGATGTTTGATCAGGATGTCTCAGATGCATATCTGTATTTGAATGTCTTTACAGTTGGAATTTAAATTCCCATGCAAATGACAGAACAACTGACACACATAATGGATTTGTCTGCCTCGCTGTCTGTGTGTTTGTTTTCTCCGGTGCGTGCCTTTGCAGTCCAGTGATGGAAGTGCCCACAGACAATCCTTTGACAGAAGAGCAGGCGAGGTTATACTTCAGAGACATCATCCTGGGCATGGAGTACCGTAAGTATCTCATGCAGAACAAGGCCTGTCTTTGAGTCTTTGAACCACATCTGTGAAGCGTTTAACAGACACTGATTTATGCATTTGTAGCTATGAATTCCCTGGTTCCCCACTCACACCTAAAAGGCTACATGCAGTTTTTGGGGTGTTCCTAGCGGCCAGGAAAGCATTGGATATTCCATTTCTAAAGATATCCCTCCTTATCATACCCCATTATGAAACTCAAAGTATAAAAGCAGGAACATTTGGAGCACTGTGTCTCTCCTTAAAAACATAAATGACGTGGTTGCATTCTCTAATCTAATGGCACAAAATGTTCTTGACCCTCTGTTCCCATGCCCCTGGGGTCTGGCTGCACAATTCTGCCGTCCACCTCATCAGTATCGAGCCTCTGCTCAGTGAAAGCTGTGTCCTCATTTGCTGTAGATCCATTCCACCTGGCTATGGGCCTGATGATTAGGGGTCAACGCTGCCTCTCTCTGAGCTGGTCCATCTCAAAAACAAGGCTACAGAATCACAAGCATGACATTCATAGGTTGTTTTTTACATGTAAAGGCAGTATAGGCTTTTAGTTTTTGCACACGGCGGTGTTTGAGTGCTTACACCTCATGAGTCGTAGGTCTCAGTTGAGGCTCAGCTAAGTTTCCAGATGAAAAGCTATTTCCTACCACTTAGCTGTTTTTTTGCCGACCCTCTTGAAAAACACAACCTGTGGATTGGAGTGTGTAGAAGTAATGTTTTACAGTAAGAATGAATTTACTAACCACAAACCATAGCATCAAATTAATGTACATTTACTAACCATCAATTTCTGAAATAATGAAGTAATCATTAAAGCTCAACTCATGAAATGTTATTTTGAGTTTTCATACTTTATAGTAATGAGCTGAGTTTTAACAATTTCTTAAATTCTTATATATGTATTCACAATTTATTCATATGACTATTATTTTTAAATTGCCGATTAATTTAGTTGAACACTTAAAGGCTGCTTAATAAACTCCCAAAGTAGTCAATGTCTTCTAAAGCCTAAATGAGCTTACATTTTAGCTCATTTGCCAGACATTGACGTTGTGTGTTTCTAATTTAAGTATTATTAGTGCTGCTGACGACGTTTAATTATCTCGGCTTTTAATAAGTCAAGTGCCTCATGTTTTAATAAGACCTCCTCAGACAAGTGGGCCCCACTTATCCAGTCAGGGAAGTGTCCAGGGCTTAGCTCCAGATAGCTGTTAAGTACATCTCCAAGCCGTAACACTTTCTGTCTAAGCTGAGCTTAGGTTCACAGTATTCACATCATTCCTTTTGGTTAAAGCGACAGTTTATGAACTGGCATAACAGTTTTTTTATCCCCTCTGCTGTTAAAGGTCCAGGAAAAAACAACATCATCTGGATGCTGTTCGTCTGTAGTTCTAAAAGTCTGACTGTTTACTTCCTCTTACCCTCAGTGCACTACCAGAAGATTGTCCACCGGGACATCAAGCCCTCTAACTTGCTACTGGGGGACGACGGCCATGTGAAGATAGCGGACTTTGGGGTCAGCAACCAGTTTGAGGGCAACGACGCTATGCTGTCCAGCACTGCTGGCACTCCTGCGTTCATGGCACCAGAGACCCTTTCAGACGCGCGGAAGAGCTTCAGCGGAAAAGTGAGTTGACTCTACAACCATACATCCATCCGGTCTAAGCCGGAGACCTCATGATTGGAAAATGAGAACCATTAAAACCCAAGATGAGCTTTCAGACCTTTGCCGGCCTGCTAATCCATGGAGCAAATTGTCATTGTCAGTCTTTTCCCCTGTGTGGGTGAGCTGGTATTGATAACGAGGAAGCCAGTAAAGCAGCTGAGCACAAAACCATTACCGGAGTCAAGAAATGGAATAAGGCTATCGGCTTTACACACCTCGTATTGATTCGGGAATGTTTCACACCATTATACGGTTCCTACTTTTACAGTCAAACGACGATCAGTCTCCTTTGTCAAGGATCACCCGCTACTCTTCCATAACGATTGCATTGATTTCCACCTGCCTCTACAACAAATTCTTTTTGCAAAATTACCAGAATAGAATCTTTGATTGCAGACAGAAAGGATGTTGGAGCGGTTCAAGTGCCTGTGGAAATCTATGCAGTCCCATTAGTCTCGCACTCCCCCTGATATGGATTTGTTCATGCCATGCTCCAGAGAGCCTTTGTGTCCATTATTCACCAACATTTGTGATTCTTTTTCTTTTTTTTTGTGGTGTAAATCAGCAGCGAAATATCAAATATCTGACACTATTATGCCACTTCAACCCAGGTTGTCAGTCCCAGTAGTCCATCAGAACATGCCAGTCACGCAGCACCTCGTCTCACAGCAACATGGCTGTGGCATTGTGATAGATAACGCCGGCTCAGAGGGCTAGTTTTATAATTTCATATCTATCAAGGAACATAAATGGATTCCTAGGAGCGCTATTCATCCAGCGAGAGCGTGATGGATCGCTGCAGTGCATCTGTTACCTGATCATACACATCCATTTACAAGGTATCTTGATGGTAGACGTCCCCCCTCCAAATATACAAACAACAACCTTAAATTATCCCATAAATCACTGTAGGCAATCTGCATTGATTTAGGTCGACGTGTTAGTTTTTGTAGCGAGGTGTTTTGATCCCTAGATGTATGTTTTTTTCAGTCTGTTTGCCATCATGTTGCAATTAATGTCACTGCTGGCACTTTCTTAAAGGCGCTGGACGTGTGGGCCATGGGGGTCACTCTCTACTGTTTCGTCTTTGGCAAGGCAAGTCTGCACATTTTCTTTTTTTTCTTTCATCTGGTCCACTAAAGGTAGCAGCAAAGGCTGGGCAACAGGAACACTATCTATTTTTTTTATGTTGTTTGATGAACAGCCGTCTAGTCTAGCTGTCTCATTTATTCTAGTAATGCTAGGAGCTGATTGGTGCTGTTATTTGTCTTAGTTGTCTTTTGGGGTACATATTTTCCCTGCCACTGTTCCTTCCTTGTTTTTCTCACTTGTCTTTCCTCTCCTCCACCTGCAGTGCCCATTTATTGACGAGTACATATTGGCTTTGCACAACAAGATAAGGACCAGGGTTGTGGATTTCCCAGAAATGTAAGTCCATCCCCTGCGTCTTTGCCTCCCCTCCACTTTATTAAAAGAGACAGCCGCGATGTCTCAGCCACCTCCAGTCCACAGTAATCATCGCCTTCGCCCATTTGCTATCTTCTTAACTGCATCTCAGTCGCAAAGCCATTTTCCTCTTTTCTTTCAGTTTCAAATTGCATCTGCAAAAACATGAATAGCTTGGTGCAGCAGCCAGTATGACACACAGTAAATGTCCCCTGTGTATGATCAAAACAAGCAAGGAAAAAGCTAATTTGTGGGTTGCCTCCTTGATCTTCACTTTGCCTGAATGGTCAACATGGAAGTACTTTTTTGAGTCAATAACGCTAGAATAGACGGAGACAAATAAAGATAGGAAAACAGGAAGTCTGGCAGTGGTGATGGACTGAGGGAAAGCACTGGTGAAGTGTAAACACAGCACATGTGAAAGGGCTATGAGTGGCAGTTGGAGTGTGTGTAAGGACAGGGTGTCATGTTGTCAGTGATAAGTGTCTTCCCCCAGTCGGCTCAAGAGACTCCAAGACTGTTCAAGAAGAGGGCGATGCTTAATGGACGAACTTTCCCCTACAGAGTATCACATCGCCTAATGGAATCATCTCCACACTGTACCGATCAATGAGCGTAAGCTGCACCTTGTCGTCAGCGCTGAGGGCCATTATACTGGAGGTGTAGTGCATCGAGCTCACATAAACCTATTTTAGTCAGACACCAATGACCTCTATTCCTATCATGCACGCTAATGTTATTTTATCAGTGTCAGGGAAAGTGCGTCTTCATAAAGATGGTAAACTCAGTTATTGGTGATACACAGGTTACAGGTCACTGTTTGAAATATTTTAGAGCACTGACTTCAATTGCATTTGTAGTTCTTTAAGTCCTAGCAGGACAAAATGTCCCATAAACCAGTGATGCCAACCTTTTTTTACTGAACCCCCTCAATGACGTCCACCTTTTTTGAACCATTTACTTGTATTCCTTTATTTTTAGCTAGCTATTTCTAATGTTAAGCCATTCATTTTAAGGATTTTAACCATTTGTCTTTTACTTTTCACTATTTTAACTTGTTACTTTCAGTTAACCATTTCAACAGCTTTTGCAGTACCTTTAGCTAACTGTTCTGTTGCTAACCTCTCTGTGTGCTTGCTCACTATTTTCTATTTGTCACACTCAACTGTTCAGATGTTGCAGCTGACTTAATAGGAGGACATAGTTACTATTTTTTCAAATTAGTTGAGCAGCTGGAGCTACTCCACAATCTTCCTACGTATCTCCAGACTATGGTTGTCCCTGGTTCAGAATCGCTGCTATGAATTGTTTTCAGTTACTTCAAAAGCCAATTGTTTTCTCCATCAACAACTACATTCTCAAGTCTTTGTTCTGTGTTTTGTGCAGGCCAAAGATCAGTGAAGAGCTGCGGACCCTGGTCTTGCGGATGCTGGACAAGAACCCAGACACCAGGATCACCATCCCTGAGATCAAGGTAACTACGCAGAGGTTTGTTCAGGTTGACGGGCAGCTACCTTGAGCACAGCCATAGCGAGGATGTCATTGTTCATGCTCAGACACACACACAATCTCCTGTGATTGGCTCAAAAGACTCTGACCTCACTTTGGTATTTACGCAAGGGTTAATTCGGCACGATGAAACCCTTCTGTCCCTGTGGAGGACTGCGTTAACACTGAGTCAGTGATACAGGGGGAGGTCCAGGACCAGCCAAGGACAGGTCCCCACTCCCCACGGTGTTTCCATGACACAATTTAATCATGCCTCAGTGAGTCATTTTCTCACCAGAGACTCTGTGTTTATGGAACAAGAGATAATTAGGCATCACGCTTTGGAGCAGATTAGACTATGTACGGCCGAGTTACAACAACTTCCTGTTTCGCGGCGAATGGCATTTTTTTTGACGCCACGCCACGGATACATAGTTCGATAACTTTTTGTGCACACACACACACAAGCACATCTCTTACTTGACAAAAGTTACAAAATGCAGCTTATTAAAGAAAAGTGTTTTGGTAACAATTTAATTTGCTGACATTACATTTAAATTGAATTTAAAGCAAAACATGTTTTAGCCCCTGTGCTACACGGTGCATTTACTTACATAGAAAATACACAGCCTGTTACATACTTTACAATTTTGAATTCAAGTTATGGTGAAACAAAATAAAAGCGCAGAGTTTCAAGTTGCTTTAGGTAGGTGACCCATTGATATAAGCATACTGCCTTTATACATTTTTCTCATCTACTTTTCCTGTTGATGCTCACTGATTTGAAACGGTGCCAGATCTTCTTGGGTGTTTTTTGATTGTGGGAACTTTTGACTGGGATGTTAAAGAAAATGATCATTTCTGAAGGAGCAGCCACACCATTTGGGATGTTAATGGTTGATTAATTGTGTTTAGAGTTTGAATTACTAGCATGTACCTTTTTTGTCATCTTGGAAGTCCTGTATGTCAAAGCTTCCCAACGAGCACTTTAATGCATCACGATGTACGCTGCTATTTTAAGGGGTAAGTCTGGAGACGTGTTTCGTATTGTCAACCTGTCAAAAGACCAAAAACATCAAAGAACTGATCCTACTAGTATAAACACACCAGTGAGCCACAGAGTACTGCAGGAATGAGTCAGCGGTTTTACACTTCCAGTTCCCTCGTCTTAAAGTGGGTTTTTGATTAGATACCTGAAATAAAGTCAGTGGTTAAGACGAGCTTAAGACATTTCAACATTTTGTTCTAGAACTAAAAAGTCAGTAAATATCCCTATCGTGAATTGTTTTGCTTTTTCGTGTCTCAAAAAAGGTGCTTGCCTAACAAGTGGCTAAATGGAAAAATCCCATTGTATTTTTGTCAAGGGAACCGGTGCAATGCCAACTTTGCTGGTTGGCCTACAAAAATGCGGCATCTCTGCAGCACTACATAACACCGAGGGACATGTTTGTTCATTACTGTGACTGTAGAAACTGTAGTTTATCCCAGAAACTGTGTCTTTCTGTTGTTAATGATCACATGAGCACAAAGTCCAGGATGGAGAATAGTTCCCAGCAAATGCGTTCTCTCCCCTTGTTTGAGTAATGTTTGCTGAAAAATATAAGTTTGACAAAAATAAACTCCGGCTTGTTGGTCACTGTGATAGATTATGTGTCTCCAGCTACTTTTAAATCTTTACTGTTGGGTTTTAGTAGCGCAACAACATAAATCACAGCAGATGGCTGGTTGGCAGAAAATGCTCATGTATGAATCAATAACAGTGTAAAATATGCATGCTGTGCAGTCGCCCTTTGGAATATTTTAAACATGTCACAATGGACTCAGAGCGGAGAGCCAGACTTCCTGTAAAGATGCTGCAAACTTCTGTGGATCCTAGATACAGTATATTATTGTGTGTGTGTGTGTGTGTATGTGTGTGTGTGTGTGTTTTTAGATGGACCAGTGGGTGACCCAGGGAGGCACGGAGCCCTTGCCTCTGGAGGAGGAGCACTGCTCTGTGGTGGAGGTGACAGAGGAGGAAATCCAGAACTCCGTCAAGTTTGTTCCCAGCCTCTCTGCCGTGGTAAGGAACCCTGAGCGTCCTCTGTTCCACACTGCAACATAGTCATTTTACTTTTTAGAATGCAGCTTTGGTCGCAAGGACGAGGCTGCCTCTCAACAGTGTTCAACTCTGAACCACAAAAAAACAAGTTGATGCCCCAGTTGTAAAAGTGTGTATTCCTTTTAAAGCTTTTCTTTGGGTTTGACCGCCTTATCAGTCCATTTTTACAGACCGGTGAGGTTAAAACCCTTTCATTCACATAAACCCCAACGCCCACTGCAAAGAAGCAACTTCCCTGAATGGGGAAACCCAGATTCTACATCATCCGGCTCCATAAATGCTCCAATGTGGCACCAATTTGGAAACAAGCTCACATAGTTGCATATACAGGCACTGTGGCACAGCATAGCAGCGCTTATTAAAGGGCACATCTGAAATATTAATGCCATCGATCCCTGGTTCTATAGCACACTATAGATTGACTGTTAAACAAGCCAATGAAGAGGTTAGAACATTCTCACAACCCCAATGATGGCTTCTATATGGACTTATATGAAGTTAGAAAGATATTGACATTAGCACGAATGAGTTTACCATCAAAATATACCGGCCATGCAAAAGTGCAATAACAAACATAGTCAATGTAGGATTTATTAAGAATTATCTATCAGACATTATGGTTTGTTTCAACCCCCGTGTGCAAGTCTCCCACTGGATCTCCTCTGCTCTCTCCTCCGTGCAGAACCACAGCGGAGCTTTTGCACGTGGTCACAACTGTCCTGTGCTTGTGAATGTTTCAGATCTTGGTGAGAGCCATGCTGAGGAAGCGCTCCTTCAGCAACCCCTTCGAGTGTCCGAGCAGGAGAGAGGAGAGGTCCATGTCTGCGCCTGGCAGCCTGCTCATGTAAGCATGCGCCGTCCTGACGGTCATCCACATCCAGACATCCCTCGAGCACGTAATACCTGTATATCTCATCCGGGAAGATAAAAAAAAACACAACCATGAGATTGCTTGAGACTCTGACACAGACCGGTACTTCACACCTGTCTCTTCTCATCTGCTGTATCAGGTTAACTAACATTCAGCCCCGCAGCAGCAGCTGCTTTGCGTTGCCATAGCACCATAATTCATTCTTTCATTGTCAGCAGCGAAGCTTCCAGCTTTTATAAGTGTTTCTTTTGTGTGTTGCATCCAGCTTTCAAGGGTAGAGGGAGTCAGAGTGACAGAGAATAATGTAGATCTACCGGTGCCTCAGGCTGACCTTGAATTTTCTGTAACACGGATTGAACGCATCACTGGGGGGAAAAAACAGGCAATCGTTGTGACCTGTCGTGCAATTCCAACATGAACAGTACAGCCAATGGCCAAGCTGGAGCATCTATAGCTGTGCCCTGCTGTACAGCAGGTGCCGTTGGGACAGTGATCTGTGTTACGTGTCCGGCAGACTTTGTCGTGGTGAGTGTAGCGCTGAATGGGGAGGAGGCGGCTCTAATGTCCCGTTGTGAGGGGTTCTGTTAGATGATTTCTCCTCTATCGAGGCCGAGGGTTGCACTGTTGCACTGTAGGCAGTCAGAGAGCTGCCTTCTAAGGTGAAGGTGTTTCCAGAGGACGTGAAGGGAGTTTGAGACAACACTGCCCCCTGCTGGAGAATGGAGGGAGTAAAACTCAACTCAACTGAAATGTTTAGTCCGTTTGTCCGAGTCTTGATCTTCATGTCACCATGAATTATAAACCGTATTGATTAATAGGAGGACTAAAAAAAAACCGACATGGCTCACACGTAGCATTTTATTATCTGTTTCAACCACTTTCATTTTGACCTGATTTGTAAAATTGGTGGAGAGCCCCTTTAAAAATTAAGTTTTTAAAAAAGTACAAAGATGATTTTCTTTTTTTTCTTGCTTTTCTTGTCTGAGCAGTCAAACACACTAATCTCGAAGCCACACATACATTTTGTGTACAACACTCTTCACAACACACAACACACTTCACCTCCTCAACACTTTCAGGTTGAGGAGGTGAAGTGTGTTGCCTTTGACCCTCCCCCTGCCGTGAGGTGACCTTTGCCCTCTCACCTGTGACCTTTTTTTTTTTTTTTTTTCTCTCAAGGGACTCTTGGCCCTTCCGGCCCACTTTAAAACTGCACCCCTCTCTCAGGTAACACTTTGTGCAGCACAGTCTGACACGCTGTCTGTCCAACATCTACCAGCCGCCGCGCCCATCATCATCATCTTAGACTCCTCCCATCATGACAAGTGATGGAGCAGCCTTACCCTTCCCCGGCTGTCACCTCCCCCAAAGTTCCCTCATCTCCCTGCCGCTGTCATTTAATGCCGTCTTTTAACATTCATCATGTGACAAAAAAACGCTTCTCTGGTTTTGCTGCATTTGGAGAGATGAAGCACGGCCTTAATAGTACCATCATTTAGATATGTGGGAGTGCTCATATTGACCGCTGTCTCTCTATCTTGTTGCAGAAAGAGCAGCACGGGAGACGGACCCAGAGACGGAGAGCTGGAGGACCTGCACGAAGACGAGCCCTCCTCTTGAGTCTTTCCACAGAGCTTTGTGGGGGAGTGTGTAGAGCCTATCGTTCTACACACTGGACAGACTGACGGTTGTTAAACCCGCTTTATCGCTTTCGTTTACGCTCGAACTCCGGCTTGCTATCGTCTTTGCTTCGTTAGCCTCGGAGCATCCTTTCTCTCCCCCTCCATCTTTCCTTCTCCACCGTGGACTCTCTGGGCACTGACTTTGATCCACAATGTAAAATGTGTGAACTACTGTTAACCACTTACTGTTGTGACTGGCATCAGTGAACCGAGAAGAGGAACTCTGCTGAAGAACAGACACACGCACACATTTGTCAGCGGGCATTGCACTGTAATGTAGGAGGAACACTGTCAAGCTCAGATTTTTTTTTTTTTTTCACTCGTCTGCATAGATGAACAGTTAGACATCATCAGACTGCTCATAGCCAGCCTGACTGAGAGAATAGTCATCACAGACTTCAGCATGTTAATGACTCTATATTGTCTCTTCAGTGACAAACAGAGCTTTTTTAATTTTATTTTTCACGTCATTAATATTGTACATAGATGTCTCGAGGTATCGTCGGTGTTCTCACAGCCCTGTTCTCGTGTCCGTGCCATCGGCAGCTTTTACTTCGGAGCTGAAGTCCTTCCTGGGCCGCCTTCACAGTCCTCAGGCCCGGGTGGGTGAACTTCTCTGACAGGAAGGAAGTCGGCAGTCGAAGGGCCATCGCACGGAACGGACAGCGACTTTGCCACGCTCGAGCACATTTCAAAGTGACTTTCGCCGCTGTGTAATGTGCAATTATTTCTGTGTTCAAAGTCATTTCATGCTCTCGTTTGTCTGCTGATTCCTGCTCTCTAGCCGTCTCCTTTCTGTCATTTCTTACCGTGCCATTTGATTAGATGTGAAGTAATTGCGAGAGAAACTGGAGGTTGTGTGAATGTTGTGTGAACGGACTGAACCAAAAAAAAAAGGGCCGTGGACTACTCCGATGGCCTGTACCTTAAATACTTCCTTTTACAAATGAGAATGTATTATTATACAACAGTCTTGGATGCAGAGCACATGTGAAGGCATGAATAATGTCATTGTCCAAGATAAACTTCAATGAGTGCTCTTTCACAAGAAATTTAAAAACTCCTAAGGGGAAGGGAGGTCAAAAAAGGGTGAGCGTTGTATAAGGGGGGAGGGAGGTAGAGCAGAGGAAGGTCTTTATTTTCTAACGCCCCAAATTGATATTTCAAATATTCCCTTTGTCCCTTTGCAGACTTATTAAAAACAAAGGGAATCAAATGGTTTCAAACAATGGTTCAGGTGTGCACAGCGGGTCATAAAGGTGAGCTTTGTCTTATGAGAGGGACAACAGTCCTGTCACTGTTTAAGACTCATTTTTCCTCGATCACAAAATGTTATCCGACCAAAAGTCCTTTTCTCCCTCAGCATCATAACAAAAAAGGTTTTTTAAATGATGGCTAGATGTGTCGTATATGAAGTAGGCTGGTGTTATAGTTAGATTTCACTCTTTTATGTTTGCCATCAATTTGGGAATCGTTAATTCCACTCCAAATGTTTGCATATTGTGAAAATTATTAAAGTATTTGTATTTTTTATATATACGAGAAGTACAGTTATGCAACATAAATTGGATTGAATTTAAATGAGATTTCAGCCCCTCAAGCTCTTGAGAAGTCAAGCATAAGGCCCATAATACAATACGCTGTAGATAATCAGTCCCTATAGATAACTAGTTTGTTAGCATTACAATCCGGTGAGATCACACATGTTGGTGATGAATGACAAATTACGATACATTTTTTTAATATATTTTAGCCATTTGTTTGACGTTCAAGGTGGTAAAAAGAAGGCCAAATCTGTGGGCTGTTTCATCTCCGCCGACTCAAATCAATGAGAACATTTCCGCCTCCGCAGCAGCTCTGCCTCAGATAAATGTTTGCATAACTCTCTCTCTCTCCCCCGGAGAGAGAGAGTGTGGCCCTTGAGCCACTTGAACCGCCGTGTCACGATGAGGCCCAGGCTGCCAACAATGACGCCGCCTCCCCGTCCACCTCAGAGCTGTACACAGTGTAGCTGATTAGAAACAGGGATGTGTGGGTTGGGGGGGGGGGGGGTGGCTCAGCTTTCCATTTCCTCTATTCATCTTTTCCTCGGTGTCCTCCGGTGAAGGATGCAAACAAAGAACACAGAGGGATTGGTACAATGTGAATGAGAAAGCCTTTCACACACTGTGTGGATGATCATGCCGGGGAATGCAGAAGCTGTCTTAACTTTGTATGTGATTGTTCAGTAAGTCTGTGATATGTATAGGATGATGAATTCCTGTCTGAAATGTTGTATATGCAGTTTGCACTGAAGGGCCATTCATTGACTGATGTAGCTCCTTCTCTCTGCTGAGGATGGTGTCAGTGAAAGGAGGCACTGAGGGCTGTTCCAGCTGAAGAAACGGTTTAGCAGTGTGATGGAATAGTTGCACCGCTTTACATTAGTGTTTGTGCGGACGTTCGTCTTTGTTGCCGGTGCAATATTGTTGTCGTCTTTGTCGTCGTGTGCCTTCCTGGCATTCCCCTGCTTTTATCTGTGTTTTAGTTGACCTTGTTGAAAAAAACTAAAATACTGCTTATATTTAAATATTTGCACTTTTCCACTTCCAGATACATATTAAAGTTATGACATATATACGTATATTTATCTCACTACTGGTACCTGCCAGCTGTTTAAAATTGTATAGTTTGTGATCAAGGAAAAGAACTGTGGTTCACCTGTAACGGACCATATTTACTGTGTATCCGTCTGTTCTCAGTCTCCTGTGCTTTTGATAATCATTCTGCATGTGGCAGCATTGCTACTTTTGTTTTTTGAGATTTTTTTTATAAACTGTTTTTATTTTGCTGTAACTTTCTCCCACCTGTGACACAATGCTGCTACGGCTGCAGTGATGAGACGTTTTCTTCGTGTTAAACATTCATCCAAAGCTTTTAAACTGATTTCTATTACATTTGATGGGAAAATAACATTAGCACGTGGCCATTTAGAAAGCTCCAAACGGTGTCGACCAATCTACATAGGCCACGCCCATTTCCAGCTAGACACTTTCATTTTTCAGTCATTTTGTCAGTTTTGTAAACATACTCGTCAGCTCTTTTTATTAGCTGTGACTACATTTGAATGACATCTGAACTGTATCAACTCTGATTGCGCATGCCAAATTGTATTGAATTTTTCCCAAAGGTGGTATTGATACACTGAACTAGTCACAACTTAAAGGTCACCTGTCTGACGTTCTTTCAATGTTGCAAAGTTCTTTTTGTGGAGGAATCCCCGACACGTCACATACTTGATTCTCTCGAAAAAAACAGCACAACCATTTAGATACAGATCTGAGTCCAGATACAAATGAAATATAAATATAAAATTGTGCATTATTGACTTTTTCTCGCTTAGTTTCCTTAGTGTAGTGACACAAAGAACAAAACAAACCAATGAGTGTAGTCACACCGCAGGAAGTGAGTGAATGGAATAATGTCTCATGTCAGATCATCATTCTATCCAAAGGAGTTTGTACGCGACGATCTGATCGCTGCTGTGCGTCGTGTGTGTGTGTGTGTGTGTGTGTGTGTGTGTGAGTGTGAGTGTGAGTGTGTGTGTGTGTGTGTGTGTGAGTGAGTGAGAGTGTGAGAGGTGCCTGCCGTCTCGTGCATTTCTCTGAATGTCCTCGCGTCGCTCGTACAGAAGCATTGGCACGTCCCTATTGAATGCAGTTGTTACAATGTAAATATGTACCAATATATATAAAGAAGCTATTTTTGGCATGCTTTTTGTACACCTAGACATAATCAAAGAATAAAAAAAAAGAACATCTGAATTCTCTCGACATGTTGCCTGTATTCCTGTTTGACTACTGGGGACCAAAAAAAACAACTGTTACTGTGCATCTTTTATTGAACTGCAGATCACAAGGTGCACGCAGGGGATGAGTCACTCCGACAGTGACAACAGACAGAGATGGAGGCAATGGATGAGATGTGGATATTAATCCTGTACACACAAATGCAGCAACGTGTTATTTTAACCTGCAGGTATAATGGTGGAGGTAGAGGTTACACCCAAAGTGTGAAACAAAAGCAAACAGAGCTACGAGAGAAAGAGAGGACACGGAGAATGTCTTCTATGTCCAATGCAGAGTCCATTTAGTGTGTATGTGTGTGTCTTGTAGCTTCCCACGTCAGTACTCCAAAGTACTACCTCAAGTCTTCTCCCAGGTCACTGCTACAGGATGAAATGGATAAATAATACATCAGCCATCACAGAAACAAAAGCAAACAAGATTTTGTTTGTTGTAATAAATATGAGTCTTACGTTGGGTAACTCCGTTTCTGTGCTACATGCCTCCGACTCTGGTTCCTGTTGGATAAAAAGCCATTTAAGACCTCACTCGTGATGAAAACGAGGATTCTCAACATCACGCCATAGAATACGTGGAGGTTCTACTCTACTGTCTAGACTTCTACGTGCACTCACGTCGGGCCGGCCAATGCCTTGGACTTCTCTTGCATTTGCTTCGAGGGAGTAATGGGGGCTTGTTTCTAAACCAAGCAACTCCCTGTCATGCTGCAAATACAAAGAAATGTTGCGCCTGTTTCAGTTAAAGAGGGGCTACTGTTTCAGGTAGTGCCCTCAGATAGTACTGTGGAACAAGCATGGATGATCCTGCACTGCCGGTGAATGTTATGGGCAGGGGTGTCGTTAGGCCTGTTTTAGGGGGGCTGAAGCCCCCCTAAAATGTTCTTCAGGCCCCCCAAATAATTTGGCATTGTTGGCTTTAAAAAAAAATAAATAAAAAAATATTTTTTTGGTGATGTCATTAAATTAAACTATTGTTTCTCACATGGACAAGTTATTTATAACTAACATGCTACATATGTGCGTGCGTTCTGGTTTGTATGTTTTCTCCCCCTTCAAATTACAATCCAACAGCCTATCATCATACTGAACGATATAAAGTTGACACTGTCAGGTCCATTCTCTATCCATTGTGTGCGGTCCCTTTAAGAATTAGGATTTGGGAGTGATGCGGATATGAAAGCTAGTTTATCCGTCTTTCCTTTACAAGCAGGAAAATTATTTCTCTCTTTATTTGAGAAAAGTTCATATTTGCGTTGTCAAATTTCACTATGACCCTGAAATTCTGTCTCTTGTGTTATCATATACTGAACTACAGAGCAAAATCACACTCTTTCTGATTGAACCAATCTATGAACTGTCTGAAACAATGGATATCCGCGGCCCCAAATGGGCCCCAAAAAAAAATTGCAGTGCGCTATGCGCGCAAACATGCCACTCCCCTAGGGGCTAAGCCCCCCCCCCTTCTTTGTATCCTAGAAACGCCCCTGGTTATGGGTATGAACACAGCGCTAATGTGAAGGGGACTGCTCCTGTGTGCTGGGGGGGTGTTTCTAGTTCTGACTTATGTAAAGTTCCTTCACAAGAACTGAAATGCATACAGAAGATGTTCGATAAAGAATTGCTTCCGTTAAAGGCCTCTCTGCTGCCATCTTGTGTTCAAACTGAAGTTACACAATCACAACAGGATGCATGTGCGTCACGGAGCTTACCGGTACAAATGTGTCCGTCTGTTTGAATTTCATGTTGTGGTAAAATTCTCTTTTCGGTACCAAATAGAGCAGCACCAGGTCACACACCACGGTTGCCTGTAACGTCAGAGTTATTTCAGTTTGTATTCAAAGTGTTCCGCGGATAATAAATCAATGATGGCAGGCGGTCAGGCTCCAACATACCACTCCAAAGATGCCCACACCAGAGCCTATCGCGGTCAGTGTTGGGATGATGTCAAACTTTCTGGCCTGTGAGGGACGGAGCACAGATGATTCAGCATTTGAGTAATTCTCAAGTCGGAAATTCATCCGACTAGAAACGTTGAGATGCGTTACTCACCAGTGAGTGCACGATGACGTCCAGCCTGATGCCAAACACTTTGTGAAGGGTTCTCTTCTGAATCTTGTCCTCCAAAAAATGCTTTGCATACCTACACACAGCCATGAGGATGATCACAATATGTTACATAGGATGTACGTGCCTCTGTCTTTGGTAAATATTTGCATTTCCCCACATATTCCCTATCATATATATATGAGATTATATCGTTTAGGAGCTTCAAACCACTGCAAAACACAGAGGCTTTTAAACCGTCAGAATTGAACGAACTGTTAATAAAAAGGTTGGTCATAATTGGATGCGATTTGTGCATTTTGAAGCTTTTAAATGTCTTATAAAAGGCGGTTGAGTAGCTAAAGTAATTGCTGTCAAGTAGATGTAGTTGGTTTATAGACCTTTTCACACTAAACTAACGTTAGCCTTTTATAAACTTGCTACAGAGCTTCTTTTCTGGAACAACCCAAAGGAAGAATCCCATCGGCTTTGGGTCAAGGGGAAAAAAAGAGCAGCTCTGTGTCAAACAAATGCTATATCAACATGATAGACATTTCCATCTGCAGTATTTTGTTGCCATTTGTCAGTTAGTTGAGCACACTGGAGCAGGAAATTGCCAATACTTAAGAGTATCAAACCTCTATTAAAAAGATTGTTCAACATTTTGGGACAGACACTTATTCGCTTTCCTGTACACAACGCCGAGTCAGATGAAGAGATCGATGCTCTCACGTCTGTCAGCAAACGACCAGCAAACATTAGCTTAGCTTAGCATAAAGACTGAAAACAGGCGCAAACAGCTAGCCTAGCTGTGTCCAAAGGTAACAAAGTCCACTTACAAGCACACGCTAATTAACACGTTTTATATTGTTTGTTTAATATGTCCAAAAAAGTGTAGTGTAAAGCTTTATAGTTTTATGGGGCGTTATGTACGCCCCATAAAACCACACCAGCTGTTTCCCCCCTGTTTTCTGATCTTTATGCTAATCCAAGCTAAGCTAACCCGCTGCTGGCTTCTGCTTCAACACGCAGAGCGGTATGAATCTTCTCATCGAACTATCAGCGAGGAAGCAAATAAGTGTATTTCCCAAAATATTCACATCATATAAGAAGTATTTCTGCAGTGTAAAAACACCTGAGTCTGTTTCAGTTCAGGGAAGTATACACACCTAAAATTGTAGCCCACTGAAGCTTTGGCTTTGTCGGTCTCATCAGCGTTTCCGTACAAACCGTGGAAGGAGTACTTTGGTTTACAGTGTTTTACATCAAAGTCCAGGTTACATGTCCAGTCGACCACAATACCAATGGCCCCTCCCTGCCAGGACACAAGCACAGTTATAATATAACATGGGGGAACAAAACAAAACACCTCTCCACCAGAACAATTCATCTACCCAGTCAGTGTTGAGTAAAGATCAGCCGACTCACCAGTCGGGCTATTGTTTCGAAGTTGAAGCCAGACAGTTTAACTATGTCTCCCAGTCTGAATATGGGGCACAGTGGAGCATCGTTTGGCTCATAGAGGCATTTCCTGATGTAATTATTATCGATACCCTCTACCAGGTTACTCCTGAAATTACAAGACAAACACAATAACCTCAAAGTGCACTTTGTTGTTCATGTGATTTCTGCATGATCCGTTTTGTTTTTTTAAATCTTTAAAGTAAAACTGAGTCCAACAATATGGTTGACTGACTTGCTCAATTAAAGGCACAAAAAGTATTGAGACATTTATTTTCTTTAAGACAAACTTTTGCTTGCTTGCTTTTACCAACAACAAGAGTTTGAAACTCTGGCATGGCAAAACTTTCAAACTTAAAGATGTACTCCAGCGATTTAGTGTCACACTTTCAAAAAGTCTGAGGACTTGTGGGAAAAACATTGAAAAAAGAAAAGTCCAAATTAGTGCAGAGAAGCCGAAATATCACACAAAAAACACAGGATCCTACAATTCCCATAATGCAATTCAGATCTTACCTGTCTGGTAAATGTCGTTGTGTTTTTGTTTCTTCTTTTTATTTACTATTAATTATCCTACAGGATAAAGCTGCGACAACATATGCAACATTTATATTTATCTATCTGCCTTTGGAAACATTTGTAGCATCTGCTGAGCTATAATTAATATACTATGAATGAAGTAATCACCTTGAGACATCAAATATGGGGAAAGTTACAGAATTTTTGATGAACAGTGTGTAGTTCTCTGCGGACATCAACAGAGCAGGACTAGATGGGAACGAAGAGAAGAGAGAAGAGCATCAAATCCAGCACGTTGAGGCGCAGAAATCCTCACAAATGATATTTCTCATGGGCCGACAATTATGTACTCCAGATGGTCGACGGCACAGAATCATCACAAATGCAATCGTCACGTGCGTTGCAAGTCAGTGAACTTGCAGTTTGAATAATTCAGTGTGTCCACATACTCTGGTATGTCGTGATCGTCCTCAAGGGGGCACCAAGCCAACACCTCGCAGGTCATAGTGGCGTTCACGCACACTCCCGTCATTTGCCCTTGAAATAGAGACACACACGCTGGAGTTCATCACATAACCAGCCACTTCAAAAAGGGTACTTCTTTTAGAGTAGCAGTGGGAAAAGAAGGACTGGAGGGCTCTAACATTAACATTTATCACCCTATCTTGAATTAGCATCAGCAGCAAGAACAAAAGCAAGCAAGCGCTGAAGTAGCTCTTTCCCTTATCTCGCCCCGATCCCAACATAGAATCTTTCTCCATGTGATTAGCTTTGTCGCTATCAGTCACTCTCATCGAGTGCTGGTTGAGTTCACGGACTGTTCTAGCAGCGGGCGTTTGCTCACTCAGCTCCAGTCTCTGACCGATCACTGGAGCCCAACAGTCTGTTCGGCTACGGGGTCGCCCCCCCCTCCCCCCCGTGTTTAATCGTCCACGAGCGTAGAGACAGCGAGCCGCCTCTCAAGGGATACTGGCACCTCGAGGTGAATTTGACTGGTCTGAAACAGACAGATCTAAAGCTCTGGCTAACATTGGTCTTATTAAAGTCGATGTGGGGCACAAAGGGCTTCAAAGGCTCCGATGTTAACCCCAGGACAGATGGAGGACAATAAAATGTATGTAACTGCTCTTTGAAATGGCCCTGCTGTGTTTGGACCTATTAAAGAAGCTCTTCTCTGAATGGCTGATTGTATTTAACGTCTCTGTGTGCATTTAACGTCTCTGTGTGCTTATGATTTGTGCCGGCTCCTCTGTGACATTTGTGATTGTATACACAGTACATGCATGTGTCTACTTGCTTAAGGCAGGTTTTAGCCGTGCCAACCGACACACACACAAAGACATCATACTGTGTTTGGTTGTTATGACTGAGGTTGTTGATAATCCGTCACTTTTTAATCTCGGCGCTGGTTAAGTGCAATGCAGGAGCTACATCTAAATGTTTACCATAGCTGACTCAAACGGTTGTATTTTAGTTCCTACTGTGTGAGCTCGTCCTACAGGACTTCTCAGGAGCCACAACCCTGTCTGCAAACAACACCGCTCCATAACCGTGCATGATTCTCTAACTCCCCCTTGATGCATCTCGGTTCCTGTGACATGGCTATACGATGTTCAAATATGAGAAGAGCTGAGAATAGAACCAGACGACAGAGAGCCAAAGACCTGGACAGATCTGAGTTAGGCCACAGATTCAGTGAGGACTGCTGATGTCCCACACTGTCGGGCCGTCAGGATTTACCATCTCCCATACGTTTGAAAGTCCCTCCTTTACAGTCCGAGTTTGAGCTGCAGCTGTGCTTTCCTTGGAGCTGTTGCAAACAAAGAGATTGGGGTCAGTGGGTGGAAACAACAAAGTTTTGCATTCACTGTGATGTTTGGCAGCATACAGAAACTGCTGTTTATGTCATCTTGAGGTCATTTAGTTGGAAATAAAGACGCTATTCGACAACTACACAATTACCCACTTACAGAAACAGTCTTGGAATTCCTGTTTAGTTTGACTATTTATGGAAGTGTTGAAGTCAGAGGGACAAGGAGAGACGATGGGGAAAAAAAGTGTTTCCACCTACCTCTGGACACTTTCCTATCTTCTGACCTTCAGTTATGATGTAATTTGTCATCACCACAAAAGATGCGTCTCCCTGAGGTTGAGGATTATAAGAAGTAATATGTTACATTTTTTAATCTCTTTTATATATGCCATAAAATGTAATAGTTGCTCTGCACCAGGCTAAAGTTTATGGCAGACAGCCCTTCAAACATTAATCAGTCCCAAAATGTCACACGTTGTTTGTTTTCATGGTGCTTTTTAACCTTTAAGGAATCATTGGACAATACATGTTCTTCGCTGGAGGGCTCTACCACAATATGCTCGTGCTGTTGACCATTGAGTTGATCCTCATATTCAGAACAGACGTTCAAAGAGATCAACTTAGTGATCAAAGTGTAAGGCATTATTCCTGAAGTGACCTTTTCATCTTGTAGGTTGGGTTTATCATATCAAACCTTGTGCCAAACCCACTCCAAATTAAAAAAGGCCCACGCCCAAATCTCAAAGCAAACACGACACTCATCACTGTGACTCTTTGTATTCTTTCCCACAGATAACAGGACACGGCAACATTTTAGGTAAACAGAGATGCATGCATATATAAATACAGTATGTTGGTTAGGTTGTTTCATCAGTTCTTTACAGGATGCACGCAACGACATTTGGAAAGTAGGAAGACACCTTTGCACTATGTTGATTGTTGTTGATCGTTAAATGTTCTGCACTTCAAATCCCTTGTATGGTCAACATACCATGGCAATAAACGGTTCTGATTCTGATTTGGACCGTGGTGTTGACAAAGCCAGATTATCATCCAGGCCAAATAGACTTTCAGTCTGTGTGTGTGCTGCATCCTAGTGTCGCCACTGTTTGGATCAGGGCTTAACAATCGAGCCAACACAGATGTTTTGAAAAGCATGACTACACCTCGAACTTTGTCACGATCTGATCTCTGACCAGCTTTCTTCAAAGCGTTTCGACGTTGCTGGTCTGACTCAGCCTGATGTTTATTCACTCTGACAGTTTGATTATCACGGACTGTGGAGGTTGACTTCACGACATCTGACTCTGACCCAGATGTACTACAATCCCAACGATGCTCAGTGACTTGTACCAGGTGCAAGACTAATTCTTGACCAATCGCGAGTCGTATGCTGAGTGGGCAACCAGTCACCAACCTGCGGTGGGAAGACGGACTCGGCCACATCCCAGACTCCTTCACTTCTGTTGATGCCGGCGGTGTAGCCCACTCCTTTCATTTTCGTGAAGACGGAGCTCACTGCTATGTCTGTGGACTGGTAGCCTCTCTCGTAGATGAACACCCACCTGTGGGAGACACAGAGAGCATCGTATCAGGTCCGTCGGCACCTCGGACTCCCGCTCCACCCCAGTCAGCCGTGCAACCCCCCGCAGGCAAGGGCATGTATAGTAGTGATGTGGACATTCTGCGCTGCAGTCCCACATGCCAGCAGCATCCCTGACGGGGACACATGTGCAAAGTGATTGTCGTTGTGCAATGTCACGTTGGTTGTACTATGGAAGTCGTCCCTTTACCACCACGAAGACAAATCTGACTTATTAAATCTCAGACTGTTAAAAAACTGTTAAAGTCTTTCAACCTTTAGTTAAGTACCAATTATCCAGTATGTTTTAGGGTTTCCTCTTTGTACATTTAATATGTTTTTAACTTTTATAACAGCACTTTTGGCAGCACCTTTGCTGTCCCCTTCAGTAGTTTCTCTTGAGAGTTTATTGCCCCAAAACAGTAAAATGAGTACCGCCCTTGTACCACAGCTGTGGTTTAGCAGTGCTGATCGTTGCCTGTGAGCGATAATGAAACTTTACCCGGCGTGTGATTCTGAGGAATCTGAATGTCATATTAAAATGGCAGCTTCCATGTTTATCAGTGCAAACAGATTCAATCTGTATCCTCCTCCAGGAATACTGATTGTGATGAAAATAACCAATTTTCTCTAATAAAAAGGTGCAGTCAGCAATTCTAATCCCATACACTTCATCAAACTTGGAGAACATCTCCTGCGCTGTTCATTTACAGCTCTGGCTTTGAAAATGGGAAACAAACAAATACCAACATTTCTGGCGACTGAGCTGGTAAATCTGAAAGGGGGATATTTGTTTGGGTAATGACTTCAAATATCAATCCCTTTTTCTTCAGAATCGCTGACTCCACCTTTAAGTACAATTTAAAGGTAAAGTACTCGAGTATTTCCATTTAATGCTTATGAAATAGAATGTTTTGCTAAAGAGCGGTTCCCAATGTTTTCGGCTTGTTGCCAGTTGCGGCTCCTTGTCATGTTTCAGATGTCTATGAGTTGTTAGCAGTTCAAACAAAGAGGCGTTTCCCTTCTGAACTTCTCACATTGTTTCATTTAAATGACCGTCTGAGGCCTGAAGTGGATAAATTATTCAAAGTCTCAGAAAATGCAAAGATTAGAGAAAATATTGTAAGTAGCAGTTCTTTCCTCTCTCATTTATCATCTCGCAAGATGTATCTCTGCACTAAACTACCTAACGGTACATAAAGCAGATGCACAGTGGCATGCTGCTTACACATTAATAAATCCGTATTAACAATCTATTAATAATAATATATCAGTTAGTGTCCAATTGTATGCAGGACAAGTACTTTTACTTGTATTCCTTAACGGATACATCTTGCTGATGGGATTTAGAGTGCAGGATGTTTAGTATGTCTTCGTTCTTTTCTTGGTATTTTTACTTGAGCAAAAGGATCTGAGTTGCTCCTGAGGTGATGATCTACAGATTCAACATTTCAGGTTTGTTTTGGTCACACTCGGGCAAAAGTAAATCTCTACAGAGTGAAGCTACTCCTTGTGTGGCTCTATCTGTGTGTCTGCCCAGGAGATATAGGAATAATATCTGGTGTGCACTGGGAAGATGTACAAACACGTGCAATCCGCACATCCAGAGCTATTTTATATATTGTGTGAAAAGCAATTACCCCCCCCCCCCCCCCCAGCAGAAAGCCTTCAGGGCAGCATGTAGTGCGGTTCATTTGTCCGAGCGCAGTGAAAGAACCTGCCAGCAACAGATGAGCAGAAACATCCTTCAAACTGCAGACTGGAATGTAAGGTATAGCGTTTGCACAATGAGTTTAACCTTTAAAGCCACAACTTCTATGAGTCAGGCAGATCAAATCCTTACATTTTTTTTCTTACATTCAAAAGGCAGAGGAGGAAAGAAAAATAGAGCACATTAATGGAATAAAGAAACCCATGAGCGTGAAATAATGGAGGAATCTCCCAAAACAGCAGTCTAAGTGAGATCTGCATCTGCTCCGACAGAAGCAGAGCAGCGAGGAGGAGGAGGGGGAGGGGGGGGGCTCCTTGATGTGCGGAGGGCTTTTCTTCCCACCATACTGTGGCTCTGAGATTAGTGTTGAATGAACAAAAAGACAATCACACTTGAACTAATCACGACGAAATGCAAACAGGAGATGGGCATTTTTGTTGGCTTAAAAGTGACGAGAAGAGAATTAATTACGGTTGGCCGAGGCTGCTGTTCTCCGTTAAATTAGTCGTTGCTTTCTGGGTTAAAGAAGAGACTTACTTCAAATTGATTTATCAAATATTTAAAAAAAAACTTTCATGTGGGATTACTTTTTTTGTGAGATTTACGCAAACAGGAGGCCAAGGATGCACATGTTTTCATACACGAGAATGAATCTGTCAGTTAATGAAAGCACAAAAATATATCCATAAAATAACTGTACAAACAACGACAATAAATTCATATATTTTGCAGATTAAAATACATTTTAAAAGGAATATTAAATACATTTGCAGCAAGTCTAAGGTTAAAATGAAATCTAAAATCCCTGACAACCCGTGGTTGACTGCTCGAGCATTGCGACTTCTGCTCCGACCCGAGGAGGAGAAGCCTCGTAATCACATCTCATTTCATGCCCATCACCAAATAGATACGTGACAGGTGGGGTGGCAGCAGAAGAGGGAGCTCTGTCATGCACCGGGAGCCCTTAATACCAAGAGAGACAAAAGCTCTGAATGTCACCGTGGCTGTTCCCTTTTCTTTCTCTTCAATATCAGCTCACAGAGGAAACTACAATCCTGTTCCACAGTTACAGTTACCAGTTTAAGACTTTTCAAGATCTGAACTGAAAGAAAATGAGCATCCACGTGTTGTGCCCTGACTCTGAAGGTAGTCAAGATTATAGCACCATGACCAAAGATATGGACCCCAAACAGAAAGCAAAAGTGAAACGCCTACAACGTTCCACTTTTGCACTTTTGTTAATATTATAAATACTATCGTTAAATGTGTCCGTCTCTATCACGTGTTTCTGTCCGCGTCACCAGCAGAAGGTAACATGTGTCCCTCCTGCTTGGCATGGAATTGGGCAGCAGTTGATTGTTATGTGTGTTAGCGCATATGTCTCAGCCTGTTCATCACAAGCCGCTCCTCAGGTTCTGCTGCACAGAGGTGAAGACGCACTCGCGCACAAGTGCAGACATGCACAAACGGTCAGAGTTTCCAACTAACTAAAACAGAAATGCACCCTTCCACACAATGTAACCAGGAACTCCAACATGTCAAAGCATGAGTTGTGAGCTGTAGTGTGCGTAAGATAACAAGCATGCTGTTTTTTTGTGTTTCGACTTGAGAAGCGCAGATAACAAGATATCAAGATATGCTCTTGCCCCTTCTGCCTTGACTCAATCTGTCACTACTTCATGTCTGTTTGCAGTTCCTATTTGCTGTGTCAACAGTATACCTGGCAAGTTACAAGTTAGTGTCTCTGACCATTGGTGGCACCCACCAGGAGTCAAATAACAAGTCTGCCTTTATGAATGATGTGTTTCTAACAATTTGAACAGCATGTGATGATTTGTTTTTAAATCATGTAAGCAGAATTAAGACATCAGGGTTATGCCACTGAAAAACAACCCAGCCAGCAACAGCAACAGAAAGTTGTTGGAATTTGAAGGGTCACTCTGAAAGGTCATTTTGCGTCACACACTCTCACTTCACGCAAGTTGGAACTTGACAATGCAAACTAAAGGCTTCCTGTTGCCCCTCTGAACACTACAGGAAACGAGGGATGATCTTACCCGATGATGTAAGCCAAGACCAACAGCTGGATCAGTCGGCACACCACTCCCACCTTCCCATTCCTCACCAGCACCTGGCGCGGGGTCTCATACTCGTAGAAGAAGTCGGTGAAGGCGTCGGCGATTTGGCTTTTCATCTTCTCTCATCGGCTGGACCTGCAGAGAGGAGGGTCTCTATCTCTCTCTCTCTCTCTCTCTCTCTCTCTCTCTCTCTCTCTCTCTCTTAGTTCCTCACTGGTGGCGAAGGTCCTCTCTGCCTCCTCTCATAAGTAACGTCTGACGCACTTCATGAGAAATCCTCAAGTGTAGGACTTCCTCCCTCCCACTTTCTCTCTCTCTCTCTCTCTCTCTCTCTCTCTCTCTCTGCACAGGGTCACCCTGTTTTCAGTCAGTCACATTATGTGCCTTTCCCCAGTCACCACACTGCTGCATCTCCTGACTTTTCTTTCATTGCACCCTGTTTTTCTGTTTCACGCAGCACCAAATTAGTAAAAAAAGACAGCTTTGAAATTCACTCTTGACTCAAATAACTCAACAGCTGCCACACCAGCGCTGGAACTCCTTCTCTCCCTGCGCAATCAACCCTTATCGTTTCCACCGACACTCTCTTCCTGCTATGGCAGAGACACTAACCACAAAAGCCCAACACAAACACACAGTGTGTATTCCACGGTTCAGCTTTGCCCGCTCTCGTGTCACCGTTTTCAGACATTAAGCCCTCTTATGTTTTATCATCATTTTGTGTGGAAGCCACTTTGGGGTTTCTCAGCTCTCTCATAAATGTCCACCTTCTCTCCTGTCATATACTGCAAGGTGCTTTGCATTTCTAATCTTCGTTAGGGGAAAGGAAACGCACATTGATAATAGAATATCATTTTGGTATGCATGAATTGGAATATGACAGAGCAGGTTTCCCGTCTGCAAAATGTGTTTCTCACTTTCTAATCTCCAGAGATTAGCAAATAGAACATCTTCTTTTGGAATCGTGTTTAAAATCCAAAACCTAAATCTGGTTAAAGCCCATTCCAAATCGATATGTACAGGAATCGCCACAAAATGGCCAATGCTGAGAATCTGGTCGGATTACAAGGATTTTGCATGGATTGCAAAAACAGGGGGGGGGCTGTATGACCATCTAAAATAATAACCTCAACTGCTCTGTAGTGTAGCGTTGTTACTGGTAGCAGATTTAATAAATTATAATGAATTCATATCAAGATATGTAAATAAAAACAATGAACCACAAACAAATGAAAAGAATTGCATGTGACCAGGTATCAGTGACTTATATCAGTGATTGATGTCTATCAATTAAATCTGTCGATGGACATTTTTACATAACATTGAGATCAAAGTGTGGTGGAAAATAATCTTTTTGACCTCCCAGTGAGAAATAATCGAGATGAGAAAACTCTTAAAATATAAAAAGATATTTATTGAACAGACACTAATAATAATTCAGCTGAATGCATAGAGCTCTTTCCCCACGGATGGTTTGGAGGTCTAACAACAATGAATAGACAAAACAGAGTATATATGCGCATTATCTCGTCTCCCCCCCCCCCCCCCCCCCCTCGCAGATGTCGTCCTCCGTCTGCCGCTGCACCCTCCAAGGCCACGTTCCCAGCCTCTTCCTGGGAAGAGGGTTAAGATTATATGCAGGTTTAGTGATACAAGTTATAACTAAGAACGGTATGATACCTTTCTCCAACACAAAGGATTTATGCAGCGTTTAGAAGTTGAGAGTTTGAGAAGCACCAGGGAAGATTTATATTTATATTAGTTTTGATTTAAATTTAAATTTTTAGACCTTTAGGTCTAAGATATTTCTATCTAAGATGATTTTATTACCTGACTTCAATTAATTTTGCCTAGAAACATTGAACTCATTTACATCTGGAAATTGTATTGTTTCCACCTGAGAGCTCTGATGGGCAGATGGAGGTGAAGCTGTGATGGACAGAACTATGTAGATATACAGTACATGTGTACCTATATGCATAATAAATGAATGGATACAATGAATCTCAACATTTCAGCACAAATCAGTGTCCTGTGTGAGAGACAAGAGAAAGGGGGAGGGAATCGGTTCTTCCTCTTGGACAAACAGGAGTGTGGTCTGAGCTGTGGTTAAGATCAAAGCTGCTGGCAGAACAATCAACATCCAGATGATATATGGATTGTAAACAGCATTAGCTATCATGAACTTAACTACACATAACTTTTATAAACTCAGATGTTTCCACTGTTCGATGTTGCAATACGGTAAGTTTGTTACTCTGAGGTAGATTTAAAAGATATATATATATATAGAATACAAGGACTTACTAAGACTAGGACTAGCATATCGTTATTAAAAATGTGATGTGTCTCTGTGTCCCTCAGGAATGGAGCTGCTCGCAATCTAGGAAAGGTGGGGTCATTAAACATGGTAGACTCAACCTTAACGGCTTGAGTGTCAAGACTCTTCTCTGCTCCGAGTATGTCCAGGCACATGGTAACTTGAGAGTTCAACCATTAAGTGATTAAGGTTCCTGAGAGCAGTTCCTGAAAAAAGTTATTAAGATTTTGTCATTGTTGTATTTATTACATTCCAGTTTCATCATCTTTCCGTGGAGGATTCCTCTTCTGGGAACAATGAATATATGTACGTGTTGTGGCAATTCATCCAATAGTTGCTGAGATAATTCGGTCTGGACCAAAGCGGTGTACAAACCCAGAGACAGACTGACATTGCACCCTTGGAGACTAAAAAAAGCAATTCCATATATATTATAGATAACGAAGGAGCCCGAAATTGTAACCTTTCTTACCGTGGTGTAGAATATGACTGGCAGGTTGTAAACTACTGTCGTTAATTATTTCTAAAAGATGATTGCTAATGTTTCAAGAAGAACTGAAGGTAATGAGGTTACAGCAGTGGTGAGAATAGCATCTGCTCAACTACGTGGAAAAAGTAATTAAGTGGATTCATGCAGGCCTTCGTTTTGCTTGAATTCAGAGCGTTAGTGCAGAACAAAACAATAACAATAATAATAATTAGAAATGAGACGCTAGTTGGAAATACCACAGATAATCCAGTCAGGACATTAAATGTATCCTTGATCTGAAGTGAAACCGTTTCTGCTGTATTTTTGTACCAAGTTATCAAGTGTTAGTTGCATAATTTCCTGTGTGTTGCTTAACAACCTGTCCTTTTACCAAGAACATGGGGGGGACAGTGCTTTGATGGTTACCTTACAGAAACCTACAGAAAGCCTTTCTAAACGATAGTGAGGCCTTACAAAGTAAAGCCATGGCGATAAGATGCTGTGTAAGAAAATATGTTAAAGGTCTGTTAAATGTTTCGATTGCTTCTCAACGGCTCTCAACATGGCTACACCTGAGCCGGTGGCAAACAGCGCTAACAGTAGTAAAAACTACAGCACATGTGCTTACAGAGCTAACCTTCACCTGAGTGGGAACCAGAAGGTGGACGTTACGCTTCCGCGACGACTTGGCTATCAGCTGTAACCGTCGTGAGCTAGCTAGCCAGTGGGACACGCTCACATGCAGCAACATGCATTACCCTTCAGGCAAGTGTACCTTCCGGACATCTTATCAGATGTCATCAAATTGTCCTCCTGCATTAAACCACTCAGTGTTTTGTAACCAATTATTTAATTATTATTATTATTTATTAACAATGTCCCAGATGTATGCAGCTTCCTGCACCACATTACATCCCCCAGTTAGCTCACAGGAAGCTGTTGCAATGTGACAGTTTGTCATGGCTGCCATCGGCTTGTGTCAGTGCTGATAACAAGTTGTATTTCATTTTGGCATTCACAGTGCATTTCTCCATCAAAAAAAGGAAAAGTTCCTTGCACCCATGGATGTATTAAGGGGAACTGCATGTTTTCAAAGAAGCCCCTCCTATTCATGCCTTTGAAAATGCCTTACTGGTACATACTGGGCTTCCTCACACGTCTTCAGTCCAGCTAAGACAGCTGAGAGCTGAACTTTTTTTGACTGACCTCCTGATGGTTCTCCACACATGGGTGCGATAAAATATATCATACGGTTTCTTTAGACTTTATGTTGAGTGAAAGGATAAAATTTTCTTAATAAAAAGAGGGGGATTGTGTAAGGGTGAGATGCTTTTTCGGACCAGTACCTGTTGCCATCACTAAGCCAAAAAACGCTATACAGCAGTACTTTGTTGCTGGGAGCTTGCATGCTCCTCCTCATGAACCTTACCAGTGACAATTGCATTTAGTACTGGCAGGTCTATGCGGTCTTCTGATGGACAATACTGACAATGCACCTTTTCAGTTTGTTTTCAGTGTTGTGATTTGATTTTATCGTGGCATAGAAATGAATCGTCACTCAGTTGATAATGACAAAAGCCAAATAATTGTAATTTTAACCGAATGTTTTTCATTTATTTGTGACACAGTAAATGCATTTTTCATTATCTTATTTGTTTTTATTTTAGGCATTTCAAATCTTCCATATAGATATAGATATTTCAGATCCTAATATTTAGAAAACATTACAATTAAAGGGTGTGATTTAAACAGTATGCACCTTGTCAAACCAATGAACCTGTGAATATACCTGCCAGTCCGTACTCGGGTAAAAATTTCCCCCTTCCTATGACGTCAAACTTCTGCGCCGAAATCTTACCACGTGGGGACGTTTTTTTTTGCAGAGGTAGCAAAACATCCGCAGTGACACTTTGCTGGTCTGCCAGTGAGCATGAGAAACACTTTAACGTTCATTTTTAACGTTACAAAAATCTCAAACAAGAACCGCAAAGGTTTCGCTCCGAGAGTCACCTTTTATAGACCATGCCCCACGACCCCGACCCTCCTCCGGCTAAAAAATTCAAGCCGGGGTCTGTTTTTTTCCGTCTCGATAGGAATAAACCTGGAATGCTGCTGCCTAGAAAGGGGAATGCCACCACTCCGATAGACGTGCAGAGGAAACAGCTTCCCATCTACCAGGCGAAACCTCAGCTGCTGAGCCAGCTGAGACAGCTTCACAATGCTATTCTCATAGGTGAGGAGCTCGCTGCTACAGTTAGCTCATGCTGCTACAACGTTAGCCGCTGTTTGTGCGACTCGATTAAAGGGATGATCCGCTCTAAAATATAACTATATTGTCAGCTTGTTGATATTATGACGATGCAGCTCAGTTTTAGCAAATCGTGTTCACTGATTCACATCAGCTAGCCCTATTTCTGTTATTATTTCGAGTTATTATTTCAACTATTTAAGTGAGTTGTATCATATCTGGGTGAACATCGTGCTCACAAAATGTTATTTCTACTCTACAGATTTAAAGTGAAGCACCTGATCTCTGTCTAACTTTGACCCCTTTTCTCTCACGCATCAGGGGAGACTGGCTCCGGGAAGACCACTCAGATCCCCCAGTATCTGTACGAGGCCGGCATCGGGCGACAGGGCATCGTTGCCATCACTCAGCCCCGCAGAGTCGCTGCGATCTCACTGGCAGCAAGGGTGGCAGAGGAGAAGAAGACTCCGCTCGGCAAGCTGGTATGTACAAATGACATGTCTCCCATGTTTACATCCCGTGTCACCTAAAGCTCCTTGTGTGAATTCTATCTGTGAGGTCAAAAACAGACTTTTCGTATCAGCACTCCCATCGGTTTACGGTAAACCAACCCAACTTCCTCCCAGGTTGGTTACACGGTGCGCTTCGAGGACGTCACCTCCTCCGAGACGAAGCTGAAGTTCATGACGGACGGCATGCTCCTGCGCGAGGCCATCGGCGACCCCTTGTTGCTGCGCTACACCGTGGTGGTCCTGGACGAGGCTCACGAGCGCACCGTGCACACGGATGTGCTGTTCGGCGTGGTTAAGACTGCTCAGCGCAGGCGCAGAGAGCTTAACAAGGTTCCCCTGAAGGTAGGGGTTCCAGTTGTCCCGGCTTCAATGAGATATTTTACACCGGGCTAATCCCTAACACTGCATGTGCCCACGAGATGATACAAGCTCTCTCTTTATTTATGTCTATTTATGTCTGGTAAAGCATCTCTTTATATCCACCCAAACTGCAGCTTCTCTGTTTTGTGTTTGACCCGCACAGGTCATAGTGATGTCAGCCACGATGGATGTGGATTTGTTCTCCGAGTACTTCAACAAGTCGCCTGTGCTGTACCTGGAGGGCCGGCAGCATCCCATTCAGATCTACTACACCAAGAACCCGCAGTCCGACTACCTGCAGGCTGCGCTCGTCTCCGTCTTCCAGATCCATCAGGTCAGGGCCGGACCGGGAGTCTAATGTCAGCCCAGGCCAATCTCCACACATAATTTTAATATCAGTAATATTTCTTTTAGTTTTTGCTACACACAAAAACTGCTTCAGAAAACACCAGAAAAAGTTAATATCAGCCACGAGTCTTCAGTTTACAGAGTTAATTGCAATTCCACAATTAAAGCCACAGGAATAAATATTAATATATGTATATAATTTAGGAGTGTTTGTTTTGCACTCAGTGCTCTGACTGGCTCTGGTAGCCTATTATCTCCATGCATTCGCAGCTGATGCTTTCCTACAAAACTACAGAAATATTGCAACTTATTTATTTATTTTCTTAAACATAGATCCAACTCAAGAAAGGTGATGTGATACTATAACGCGCTGCTAACTATGCCCCTTGTTTGTGAGGAAGGTGTCTGTAATTTCGCAGCATTTAGCTACATCACGTTGTAGCAGGGCTTTTTTTTTTCTCCTTTTTTAATTTGTGTTTAATCACTCGTGTGTAATCAGTAGTGTTTCCAATTTCATATCAAATCCCAAGCCATAGAGTCTCTTTCCTTCAGCATTATACAAAAACACAAACCTGCGAGTAAACAGACTGTGCTCATATTCTGCGATGATTGTTCTCGACACTGGAACACAACGCGGCCTTTTTGTTTGCACGCAGGAGGCCCCTCCATCCCATGACATCTTAGTCTTCATGACGGGTCAGGAGGAGATCGAGGCCCTGGCGAGGACATGCCGGGACATCGCCAAGCATCTGCCGGAAGGCTGCGGCCCCATGCTAGTTATCCCTCTGTACGCATCACTGCCCCCGGCACAGCAGCTCAGGGTCTTCCAGGCGGCTCCCAAGGTAACGGCAACAGTGAGCGTGCAGGAGAAACGGAGCAAAAGAGAGCACACATTGTGCTCAAACAGAAGATTTGAGCCGATCTGCAATCATGTGTTTAAAGCACGTATGGCTTTGTTTTAGCTTTCCTTCTTATTTAAAGTGCCACATAACTGTACGATGTATACATTTTATATAAAATGAAATCTATGATATATATACAGTGGGTACGGAAAGTATTCAGACCCCTTTAAATTTTTCA